CGAAAATAGCTACTCCCTTAACAGACTTGACCAAACAGAATGGCAAGTGGGAGTGGACAGCGAAATGTCAAGAGACGTTTGAGCATATAAAGGAGTGTTTAACCACAGCTCCATTGCTCAAGATGCCAGACCCTGAGAAGCCTTTTGAGGTCATAGCAGATGCCTCTCAGACTGCAGTGGGAGCAGTTCTGATGCAAGATAACCATCCAATCTGTTATGCCAGCAGAAAGTTCCTCCCAGCGGAGTTGAACTATAGTGTGACGGACCAAGAAGCGTTAGCTTATATTCACGCTGTCCAATTATGGAGGTGTTACCTTGAAGGGACACGCTTCAAACTGGTGACAGACCATTGTCCGTTAACTTACCTTAAGTCACAACCACAACTGAGCCGAAGACAGGCTAGGTGGTCTGAAATCTTACAACATTTTGACTTTGACTGGGAATATCGCCCAAGGCGAAAGAATGTGGCTGATCCACTCTCTCGCATTCCTCCATCTCCCGACGAACGGGAAGCCAGGAGGAAAAGTCAACTGATTGTTTGTGGCTTAAGAGTAATACACAAGCGGGGAGATAAGAAAAAGACGGTAGAGGCAGAAGATCTGGCCTCCAGGATCCGTCGGGCCTATAGCCAAGATCCTCAGCTTGCGTCTGTAAAACAGCAGCAAGAGATGCGCTGTACAGACGGGTTATGGCTGCGAGGCAAACAGGTATATATACCAGCCAGTCTGCGGACTGAGATCTGCCAGTTGGCTCACGACCATCCAAGTGCAGGACACTTTGGTCAAGCCAAGACCCTGAACTTGGTCCAGAGGCATTACTGGTGGCCAGGAATGCGACGAGAAATACAATTGTATGTTGATACTTGCCTGGTTTGTCAACAGGCTAAGTACTCTCGCCAAAAGACCCCAGGCTTATTACAGCCTTTGGGTATACCTGAGGAACCATGGACTGAATTGTCTATGGACTTCATTACACAACTGCCAAAAACTAAGGGAGGTCATGATGCTATCGTTGTGTTCATCGATAGACTGACCAAAATGGTCCGCTTCGCAGCCACGACCACTGAGCTCTCCGCAGAAGGAGCAGCCGACCTGTTGGTGCAGAATGTGATAAGGCACCACGGTCTCCCCTCTCAAATAGTGTCCGACAGAGACGTTCGGTTCACTTCCAGGTTTTACCGGTACCTGGCCGAGAGGTGGAAGATTCAGCTCAACATGAGCACTGCGTACCATCCGCAAACGGATGGCCAGACCGAAGTCATGAATCGGATTCTGGAGGCTTACTTACGCAACTATACGCATTCTGACCATGACGCGTGGGATGAACTGTTAGCCATGGCCAAGTTTGCAATGAACAACTCGAAAAACAGTTCCACCCAAGAGACCCCATTCTACTTGAACTATGGTCGACACCCAAAGAGTCCCTTAGCTCTTGGGGTGCAGATTCGGAAGCCTTTGAAGGGCTATGACAATCCGAATGCCCGTGGCTTGGCAGTGGCCATTGATAGGGCGCAGCAGCCTTACTTAAGGCATACTGGTACACCCCTCGTGGAGGGACTACCAGTTGTGACACGATTTGATCACCGTGTCCAATCAGCGCTGAAAGGGGCCAGGGCGTGCTTAGAAAAAGCACGGGATAGGCAGTCAAAGCATGCGGACTGCCACCGGAGGGATGTGTCGTTTAATAAAGGAGATGACGTCCTCCTTTCGACACAGCACATCACCCTCAAACACCCTGGAACTCGAAAACTATTACCGAGGTGGATTGGGCCCTTCACCATCCTCGACCGGATAGGTCCTGTCGCATATCGACTGGAACTTACGGAAAGCATGCATAAGATACATCCGGTATTTCATGTGTCAAAGATTAAGCCGTATAAGGCCAGTGGCAGAGTACAACCACCTCCTGTCCCTATCGAAATCGAAGGGGAACTGGAATATGAAGTTGAACGCATTTTGGACAAAAGAATTAAAAAGCGCGGAAGGCGCCAAAACTCGGTAGAGTACCTAAGGTACTTGACAAGGCTTGTCAAATGGCTGGGATATGGACATGAGCATAATAGCTGGGAATCAGCAATAGCAGTTGCAAATGCACAGGAACTAGTTCAAGCATTTGAAAATGGAAGAACTCCTGTCGTGCATGTATCAACTGATCGAAGTACAAAATGTACACGATGAAATAAGCTCATGTGTGGTTATGCCTTTGATAGGTCTTGCTAAAATGGGCACAGAAGCAAACCGGTTATACCGGACCTCGTACAAGAACGCTGTTCGGACACATGAACGTGATGTCCGCAGCTATCTTGAACGGGGAACGCCTGGCCACCGACCAGCCATTGATCCAACCCCCTCGCGAGCCTGTTCGTAACATGGGCGAGGACGAGGTACTTCGCAGCCTCGGGGAGGACATAGCTGGGCACATGGTGGCAACAAGTATTTGGGTCGGGGTCGGGGACGTGCAGTTTAGCCTGCATGTTCCACATCTTTCCCTTGGACGGATATAGGCCGGAAGGTCAGAACCTTGCAGCCAAAGTGCTGAACGAAGAGTTTTAATGAGGGTTGTCAAAGGCCGGCAAGTCATGTAAAACAACCACTCTTTCTCTTCACCACAGTATGTATAATGTATGTATGACTATCGTGCAAACTGGGCATGTGGCAACCCGCACAGCCAGTTGCCGTATACATACATAATATTTCTGCTCCCGTATCCACGCATTGGGATAAGGACGCCCCTCTCCCTGAGGGGGACGAATGTTACGCGCACCGGCCTGATGTGGGGGACGCCCTACTACTGGCCCTTGGTGTGGGGGACGCCCTGCCCAAGATAACTATCCTCAACCCATAGTAACCGCTTTAGGTATTAGGATACGGGAGTAGGAGGGGTGGCCCCACCTAGGTCCCCGTAAGGACCTAGGTGCCCGGCGAGGCGGGTCCGCGGCTCAAAGAGGGCAGGAACCCCACACCCACAGACTTTACGTATCATAGGGAGTCACGTCACAATTGATGAGATTGAGTGACATTGATGAAAATGTGTGTTGTGCACCCCGCGACCCATGCTCAAGGTGTGGCACTTGCGGGGCATGCTCAGAACCGCTGGAGTGGGGAGCGAGGCAATTGGAACCAAGTTCGTTGTAATCAGACGGCACATTTGCTAAATACAACCAAATTAATACTTAATGCTCGGTGGGCCCATTTTAACACCATATTAAGCAATCATTACACCCTAAATCCCAAAAACTCTAAGACGTTTCCAATGCTCTAGTAGAAGCTAGTATCCCAGACAATGTCCTCATATTCTTAGAGATCAAAGAGAGAATGAAACCTACCCCAATTCCTCCCAAAGGTTTGGTCCCAAAAACAAGATGTTGTGATCCAAAAAGTGCAATAAAGAACTATGTATTCAGCTAAATCACAACAACGGGTCCAAATGGTTCTTGTCTTTCCTTATTGTGGGTTTAAATCCAATTTGTTACCACACATGGCAAGATATCATGGAAAATTACATGAGGTCAAGGGTAATTTGACAATGGGAGGATATTCTCCCTGTCCAATGCTTCCTTGACACTATGTAATGTCCAATACCTCATGTCACACCACCCTCGGCTTTATGTAATCTTCATTATCTACTCCCATGTGTTTTAACATGAAAAGTAGGATCAACCCATACGCCATTTTTTTCAAGTCGATGATTTATTCCATCTATTGTCTAGACCCAAAGGCGCACCACCGATTGCAACAATGGTTTTGAGCAGTTGACCTATGTTGGGCTCCTTACGATCGCCTTGATCATGTATCGCGTTTACAGGACAACACTTCACCCCTCCCAAATTCTTATGTTTATATATATATATATATATATATATATATATATATATATATATATATATATATATATATATATATATATATATATATATATATATATGGTAATATCCCATGCCACACAGCCCTTGTGTGGTGTAAAGCACAGGGGGTAGTATGTTTCTCTGGTATTTGGGTTACTGGGAGGCTAAAGTATAATGAACAATAAACCCAACTTAAGTTTGATAGCGTTCTTCTTGTTGTTGTATTCAACAATGCACTACTTGTAATTGACATGGTATTGTTCTTGTATTGTGGCTTGGCAACATGAACAAGAATCACAACGCTTCCCACACTGAATTCATGATGGTAGAAGGTCCACTTATACCAATGGAGATATTACAAAAATTACTGATAATGGCACGCCATACTTAGCGTATAGGGGCACTTAAAATTTTGCCATACTTGCAACAAAACCACGCACAAAAGTTCTCATATGTTGTTGTGGCGCCATCCGTTTATAGAACGATAAGTTGCAACCACGACTGGACAAAGAAGACCGAACATGCAATGCTCACAGACAAGATATGGAAGCGTGTGTGGCGCAGGAGGCCAGAGGTGTGGAGGTATTTACTGGGTATGCATGCCTCGTCCCATTCCGTTTCTGGATTGTGATAGATCGAAACCTCAACCATGCGCACATCAGCGATGGGTCTCTCGGGTGGCGATGTAGTTATGGACCCGAATAGTGGAGCTCAAGAATAGGCAAAGGCCAGCACCACTGAAGCAACCCCGGTCGTATTTGGTTATTCCGTTTTTATATTTGGTTGGCGTCGGGTGCCAGGTCACTCAAGGGATGTTGCTTGGAGCGGCTTCTCCGGGGAGCGCGCCCAGGAGTTCAGCCACGCTATTGTTTGACCGCAGGTTGAGGTTCCCTTCCGAATATGCTCGGTCTTGGTCGCTCGTCCTTTGATGGGTCGCCCATGTGCAAGCTGCGAAATGGGGTCGCGGTGGCGGTCTGAAACTGTCCTATTGTTCATATTGTGTGCGGGGCAGCGTCATTTCCCGGCTTCCAAGCAACGCCGACTGCGATGGTAGTCTCAAAAGCACTGAGGGTTCTTCTCCCATCACGACCAATGGTTGAATGCTTCAGCTCCACATCATACACAAACATTCTGTGCCTGGACAAGGTGGTAGCCGTCAGCTGCCCCCATAATCAGCTGCAGGAGCAGGCAGCCTGAAGGCTTTGAAGAATTGAAACAGCTTAGAGTACGCCGCTCCAAACTCCTCGACCGACGTCAGCGACCGCTGTATCCAGCCGGGCAGCTTCCTAATCGGCCAGGCTGCCCCGTCTGGTCCCCGTGGTCCCACATACCGATGGTCGGCAAGAACAATGGCGGCGTAATCGTCGCGGTGGCGTATCACCCTGCCTATGCTCTGGTTCACGGCCTTCATGCACAGGTCGTTGTAGTATTCGCGCCCCGTTGCCGTCCGTCCAGTGCTCGCGGTCTCGATGCCCACAGCAGCACCGCTGACGGCGTCGATGTAGCGCATCCTCTCCTGAAGCTCGACGTCCATGGCGTTCGGGTAAGGGAGGCCCATGACGACCACACACCTGCAAGTGCCATCCCACTGTTGGTTATCAAACAGGGTACCCACGTAAGTTTGAATGTGGCTGATCACTGCCCCTCAAACTGCTTGGCGCCACGCGGCGCCGTTGATGCCCAGTGCGAAATGCGCTGCGCAAGCACTTGTCAGTGCTCCAAAAGCAGACGGTGCGGATACACAAATGGCCGTCACGGCCTTCAATGTGCGGGGAAATGCATTGGTGCGTGTCGACAAATCAACAGGATTGGAGCTTCGCGCAATGCAAAATTCCCTGTGGGCCCTGCACTCATCGTTCAAATCAGCTGTCATACTCAGGCCACGTCAAGACGGGCACGATGCACAGGCGCAGAAAAATCGCGTTCTAATAGCATTGCTGGCAGGCACCAAGCACCAACTGTGGTCCTCGGCATTTATCGCCTCCATGAATGGCTGTTCCATCATGGGCGCGTATATCGAGAGATAGAAATTCTGAAATGGGGCACTCATGCGCAGGTTTTGTCCATTCCCACATGGACGTTGGCTGGTGCGGTGCGGCAAGGCGTCGCATGGAGATAACTCAGCACGGCTACTGCGCTCAACTCGATAGGCCGTGGTCAACAGCAAAGCCACGATGCCACAGACAGGACCGAGGCAGCTTTGTTGCGAACGCCGGTACCATTTTTCCGTTCCCAGACTTCAGGGCTCCGTGCCCGATACAGCAAAACAGAGCAACCATCATATTCAATTCAACGGAAAAGTTGTCAATTTCCAACCCCTTTGAAGATGCCCGATGCAGCTATCGAGTATATTCAGAGTATACGACAGAATATTCATCAGTTCATTGATACTCACACCAGCTCAAAACAGTTACCTGCCCAGACCGTCGCCGAAGTTGATCCCCTCTGACATTTTCGCACCAACGACGCAGATCAACAGGGCCCTGCCGCCCTCCCTGACGACGGACTGCCGGTACTGTGAAAGAACGCGCTCCACTTCGGTCGCTGCCTTAGGCTCCCAGTAGACGCGCGTTTTGCTGGACAGCTTGCCCAGGGATTCAGTTGCCGACCACCTGCTGCGCAGCTGCTCAGCGTAGGCAAACGACGGAACAAACGCGATGACGCCCTCTGGGACGATGGTGCAGATGTTGAGCAGGAGACGCCCGGCCTAGGCGCAGTCACCAGCCCTTGAGATGCTTCTCGTTCGCGCTTACAGTTCGTTTGACAATTATTCACAGTTTTTGGAAAATTTCTAAATAAACACTCATTTGCGTGGCAACGGACTCTTTCACATATTGATATGTAAATGGAAGAAATGAATCCTGCAATTGTCATAGAAGCATGCCGTTGCCCTGTTTAGATGCCCCGTTGGATGGATTCACATGGCAAACAGCTGGGACCTTGCGCCAGATAATAAGTCCAAATCCCTGGATGTCAAAATTCATCGAGTCGGCACCATGATCGGAATGTACTGAGAGATTCACATGCAAGGTGCAGGACGCCATTTGCCTCTACCGATCCATTGCGCACTGGCCCCACCTCGTCCATCATGACCTGGCTCCCTTTTTGCTCATGCCTGAAATCCAGCCTCACGCCTCCAGGGCCCTTAGCGGCTGCTAGCACCAGCAGGCGATTGGCTTCGATGACGTGGCCGCAGCTGAATTGGCGAATTGACTCTGGGGCGGCGCGCGGAAACAGCTGGTTTACTAAAAGCCCCGTCGGTGACAGTGTGCCGCTCGCTAGGACAACGGCGTGAGCCTGTTGCACCACCTGGGCCCAAGCAAAACCGACATATCACCCACGCCCTTGAGAATTGAGGAGAAGCGCCAACATGCCATCACCGCGTGTAGCTTTGTAGGAATCTACTAGCCATCTTGCCAGCCACAACCTTGTAAGAGTAGTGACGGCAATCTGGTGTGCTCGCGGCATCGAGCCCAATTTGGATCACGGTGGCTTTCTACCACTCAGGGCTCTTGGTCGTTCATCGCTCGTGCTTCAACAGTGACCACGTCGAAGGTGTCCTCAAGAACAATGTTCTCAAACATCAAAACTGAGGCTGGCAATGAGCACATGAAGGCAACATGAGCGGGTTTCCGGCTTCCGTCATTCCTTCACGTCTCAATTCTGCTCCAAAATGTTTTGTCACTGGGTTCTCGTTTGGCAGCCTGTAAAACACTAGCAACGCTCGCATTCTCATCGCGCAGCTATGCCGCCGGCTACCATTGTTGTCAGCGACCAGAATTGGCAAAAACGCGCGCCAGAGGGTGCTCACCTGCTCAAACTGTTTTGCAGGATTCAGGAGCACAAACTTCAACATCCCAGCACAAGAATCACTCCCTGAAACCGCTCCCTTTGGGTCCACCACAATGCGACCGTCTTCGCTGTCATTTGTCAGCGTAGTGACAAACGAACACAGCGAATGAATGGCATCCAGACGACACGCGCTCCCCATGGTGTTGGGGTTCTGCGCCAACAGCGACTCAGCATACCTTGACGCCTGGATAAACGCAAAGGACACAGATCAATCATGCCTGAGATCACCGATGCAGTCACATAGCTTGATTTCATTGAGCTCATTGTGCAATAGTGAGACCCAATTTCGGATGTCCGATACTTCGTAAAGGAGTTTTAAACAAATGCGAAGTCTACCGCGTGACGTGGGAGAATTTGTCCCTGTGCAGCGTCGTCAAAACGCGTTTGCCCCGAGATCTACAGGAATAGAGCCATGGTCTCCCGTGGCAGCCCTGTCAATGATGGACATGCGATTATCGCACGCAACACTTGCTTTCGCCATTGCGAACGTTTCCGGTTCATAATTTCGTTTGAGACATCGAGGCAAAACAGCAACAACTCACTGGTGCTATCCGCAGGTTGGAAGCGTTATCTGAAACATGCTGTTCTAGAATGCACAACAGCGTCGCACGGTCAGCTTCGATTTCGACAACAGCCCTGTTCCGCATTGCACTGGCACATTTTGGGCTCAGTCCTACAGAAAACGCTTCCACGCTTCTTGGCAAGGAATCAGAGAGGAAAAAGGGGCAAATTTTCTTTACAAGAGGGCCGAAGATAAGAAACAACGTAGATATCACAATTAGAATAACACAGGAGCAGAAATAGCAATAGTCACGCCACCTTGAACGCCAGCTTGCTTTCATGGGCCCACCGCACGAGCTTGCACATGTTCATGTTGTCCAGCCCAGCGGCACACACAAAATCGTCGACAGAATGTATTTGACGGTGGTCGCCTGCTCTCTCGATGGCCTCCCTCAATGCCTTGCCAGCACGGCGGAGCTCCTGAACGTTGTTGGAATTTTCAGGGGAGAGACGTGAAGAAAATCTGTCGAAATAGCTGGTGATCATCGAGATTGCCACTTTGGTGTCTTCCCCTGCCGTCCCCACACCGGACAGTGGCTTTTCAGGCACTTTCTGCGTTCGCAGAGCGATCCGGCAATGCACACCAACATGTCACAATAGACCGCCCTCATGGCCCCTTGCAGCCGATGAAACAGTTGCCGGTGTGCAATGGGCCCCACAACGCGGATAAGATCACACGAACTGATAAGGTCATGACCTCGAGCTAATGCAGAGTACGTTGATGATACACAGTTTTCAACAGTTTTCAGCATTCATGTCATTAAATTCCAAGCAAATTGTGAAATTGGCAATTGGCAAAACGGCCAAAACTTGGCTAATGCCTCTGGCCTCTAAGTGTTCCGTTTGCAGCGGTGGCCAACCAGCATCACTTCCAGGAACATTATTGTCAACGCGATACTTCATGGCGCACACACACCCCACCACAGCTTTGGACGCCGCTTATTCTTGTAGCCTCACCTGTAAGACATGCGCTGTGGCTCGCATTCACTGCATCGACCAAGTTGTGAGCTTCATCAATGATCACCACACTCTGTGACAGCCGTATGCCAAGCGACCTCCTATCGAACAGGTATTCCAAATACAGCAAGGCGATTAGCGGCATCCCGCCTATGAAGCAAGCTAATGTCCAGCATGGCATTAGTGACAGCGGTCAGACAGAGCATGTTCTTCCAAAATTCGCCGGCCTTACTGTGAGTTATCAAATCATCATTTATAGCCCCTGCCCTGGTCATTGCTACATCTGGCGTTCGTGAAAGTCAGAAACTATATCAGACTTTCATGAAAGCTAACTGAATTCAGTTGCTGGTGGCCCCAGGGCAGAAATGTTGAGAAATGACACAAGAAATGACGCGTCCACGTATTGCCTGTCAGACTGTTGGCCTGGTTGTTTGTGTGTGTTGCATTGCAAGTAGCGATCTTGAGTTCCAACCGTTTAGAGGCATCCCACGATTGAAGAACACGTGCTCTTGTGTGCGTGTGTTGAAGTGCAGCGCAAAAGCGGCACCACAAGCGCTGGCTCGGCGCTATGAACTGAGCAAAAAGCGTGTACTCTAGGAAGTATCCGCTTCACCATAAAAGCCTCGCCACTGTTCGTTTGCGGCAATGGCTGTGTGCGTTGTTGTCTTACTGTTTAGACTAAAGGAAGTTTCAGCGTTGTGAAGCACGACGGCTCAGCCCCATTCACTTCGTTCGGCTGCATTGCTATCCTGTAAGCACTTACACGAACACAGGGAGGCTCAAACCGCTAGCCCAGATGCTACAGGTTTATGTGCGGAAATGGTGCTTTTTCTGTATCAACTGCTGCAAGAGCTAACGTTGTGCCCCAAAAGTCGCCTGCCAAATGCGCTCCAGTAGAAGATATATGGGGTTTGCAAAATTGCAAGGCAAGCCTAGCAGGAACTGTGCTATCTTGCCGTCGAGGGCCCCTTGCAATTGCAGCACCGAGTTGCAGCGCCATTGATGCAGCACAAATGTCCGATACCCTTCATTCCTGGAAATGAAGCCATGAAGCCATGAAGGTGATGAAGGTGATGAAATTGATGAAGGTCATGACATTCTGAATTAATGAGCTCGTTAAGGTCACAAAGGTCAGTTTTGGGTTTAGGGTGCTTTAGAATTTAGGCTTTTAGATTCCTAGTCCCCTTCATTACCTCCATGACCCCTTCACAACCTACATATCCGGTAATGATAGGTATCGGACAATCCTCTGCTGCAGGCGCAAGCAGCACTCGGCGAGTTCTGCATATTTTTCCAGCTAGTAGCTTAGTCCTTGCTTATGAGCGGAACGCCCTATGCACGCCGCGTGCTTTCTTTCTGCTGAAAAGATGCACGTCGTCTATCACACAATCTTTCCATAGAAAACTGCATTCTTATGGGTCGTGCATTGCAGGTATGGTACGGACGGTCACATACACATATTTGTCATAGCACCATTTGTAGGAAATCCTCTTCTTCCGTTGAAACCACAGTCCTTGGTGCTGATGGGCTTTGGCGCGCGCAGGCCGTCTCTGGAGAAGAGCGTGATGCTTCCGTGTTCCCATTTTGCGATAACTGTCCAGATGGCCGGCGTTCATGCGGCCAGCTGGCTCAAATATTGGCACATGGTCGAATTCACGACAGCCTAGGCGGCAGAACGCCGCAGGCCCGTCGGGATTGCTAAGCCCTCTCGTAGAGGGAGGAAGTCCTTCATACCACGTTGGATGTGCACGTGTCGGATGTGGATTGTCCATACCATTAAGGCACTGTGGCAGCGCACGTGCTGCACTGGTTGTGGCGATTGGATTCGGCCAGTTGTGTGTAGAGAGATAATTGCCATGTTTAGCACATTGTTCCAAAAGGCGCTGGAAGTTGCAGCGCCTTCCTGGTTAGGACCTGAGAATTATAGTGTTCACATTCGTCACGTTGGTACTCCCCGCCACCTTATCACTCCGCTGCGATAGTCTAAATTTACAAGCTTCCTTCTTTCCTTCTGTCTGTAATTCATCACATCCGGCTCAATCGCCGAACAACTGGCATGTTGGTACCAAAGAAGCTATCCGAAAAGTGGTCGGCTGTCAGGGCAGATTCGCCCAGCTGCAAACGCCACGCAGCGAACCAACGTGCTGCATTTGGTGGAGCAACGGATCATGGGATTTGGGCGAAGTTGTGCATATTGTTGCAAATCACCCTGCAAATGCCGTGGCTAAGCGAATCACCTTTTGCTGTGTGTTGCCCCAGAAACAGGATGTCGAAAGCATATGCTTTGTCACTTTAACGCACGGTGCATTACTGATACGCGATTTCAGCTTTGCAACGATCTGAAAACTGGCGTGCAGAGCAATTTTCATGCCAGTTTTCTGTCATCGAGATACCTTACACATCAAAGCGAGGAGGTAAGCATCAGCTCCCTGTTTCGACCGAGCAAAGCTGTGTTTATGATTTCCTCACTGGAAAAACTTTGTATTTCTGCAATCCAACCAATGAGTTTCGATTTATTCCAACTCAGATATCCATCGCGCACATTTGCACTGAATGTAATGCATCGTTTGGTGCCGCTGAGCTGCTCAGCACAACACTCGGCAAAGCACAACCACTGGTTGCGGGCCATGAAGTGTACCTTGTGTCTGGCTGCAGCAATGTGCTGTAAGGAACGAGCAACACGTCCGCTTCGGGAACTGCTCTCCGCACGCCGTAGTATGGGCATGTGCCACGTTGGCGCCCCAGCTTGGACAGATCCTGCAGTCCAACAACCTGCCTCGGGTCTCGACGCGTTGAAACGCAACTTAGAACATCGCGGCCACGTCATCAGAAACTGGCAAGTAGCTATAATACGGGCAAATGCATGAAATCCTGATGGAAGCCTTTGCAGCAGACTGCAAATTCTTGTACCCATTCGCCTCAAAAGAGTTGGTGATAATACAAGCCAATTTCGTTACCACATTTTCATTTTACACTTATCATTATCAGAGTCACCACAAGGGCGGACAATAACAATTAGCATCTTCGTCACAATTAGTAACATCTTTGCAACAATAATGATGAACACTTCGTCACAATGGTTGCTTCATTTGTCCAAAAGGAATGGGAATCGTGCAAAACAGCGAGTAGACACTCAAAACATATTCCCCAACCCAAAGCCAAGGACAAAACTGGACTAGAATAAACCCCCAAAGCCCATAGATACGTTTCATCCTCAGAAGTTGTCATCCACCTTCAGGAGACTGGTAACATGACTCAAACATCCACCCCTGCTGTGTCTGAACCGTCCAGACGCGCCAGCCAGACACTATTTTAACATGCCCAGTGGAAAATGGACAGAACAAGACATATGTCCCTTGTGTTCGGCCCATCACCTCCACTTCTCATCGGTGTCAGCCGGGGGTGCTCAACATCTGCCGTGCCCATGTGGTTGCAGAGCAATCCAGTGGCTGAACGAGCTGCCAGTTTTTCTCTCATGGGTAAAAGGGGATGGGTATGAAGCAGCGTTGGTTCAAACGGTCACACATAGTGTTGTGGACTAGAACAAACCATTGCACATTGTTTGGCAATTCAGCAGGCACAGGCAATTAGTGTTGTAGTGATATTGGCCACAAGTTCAAAATCTGCAACACAAACCTCAATGTCCATGGGTAGCGCCAGAACCGTTTCAACGAATTTTCGTTGCGAGTGTTCGTCTCTCTGTAGAAAAGGGCATGACGAATTCTTTTTCTTCGACCTCTGTTTGCTGGGACTGCCGATTCGCTCTGCAAGGCCCCGCAGGTCAGCTGCTGATGAATCATGATAGACTGCAGCTGCTGGAGCACAGCGTCCAATGAAGGCAGAGCACAGGGATGAGGGCATCCGGGACGAGCAGTTCCGCTGCTGCGGGTTGCTCATCAATAGAAAGGACTTAACAAAATGTAGTTGTTACAGCCCGCACAGAGCAAATTCTGTAGACCAAGCAACACATTTGACAGATATGGCAACAGTTTCGTTGACTCCCATCTGCACAAAAGGGACAAGCTCACGTTTTGCAGTGGCTTGCACAGTGCATCGTTTCGCCTTCATGTCCATGCATCTTTCGTTTATTCTTGAGATGGTCTTCAGCTTTGTGACCTCTGGATTCACACAAAGGCCCTGTAGGTGCAAAACAACTCAGGTGCCAATTCAGCCACTTCCATGTGTGTCTGCTCCTTTTGCACGTTGCGTTATGAGGCTTAAACAGTGCATTAAGCTGTTTGCTGTCTGCCCAGCCTCTACCTTTCACATCTTCACCGTTATTTGTAATTGCAGAGTTCCCTACCCAAAAGAAATGAACCCAACTTCAACAATTCAAGCTGTGCATGCCGCATTTATGATCTCGTTTGCGACTAGTCCAGTTTTGGATGCAGGAAAATCCTTCCCATCACACTGAGGTCCATTGTTCATTTGCAATCAAGCAATACTCCGGCATGTCTTAGAAAGAAGTTGACACTGTTGGGATATTCTCAGAACATGTCCGAATTTAATAGTATGCAACAACGTATTGTTGCAGAGGGAAGAATACGATATTGTACATGTGTGCAGGGGGACATCGTTCTTGGAGTGTTGTGGAAATCGAGTGACTTTCACAGCATGGAAAATGCAAAGCAGTCTGGTGTCTCACTGATGCTCAAAACATTTCAATGCCCTCAGGAGGTTATCCTCACCTTTCTCGATGCCAAGGCTGCGACAGATATGCGACCAGCAAAACATGTCCTTTTCAACTCGCCTTCCAAAACAAACAATACTCAGTGGTTGACTGATCAAACGATTGTGCATCGTCAGGCAAGGATATGTGCCCTCCCTCTGCCACAGAATCATGCTTTGTGAAAGGAGGCACATGAGGTATTCCTTGCAGCTGTTCGTTAAGAACCTGGCTGCATTCACTGAAATGACAACTGGGACTGTATCTGCCCACTACCTATCTAGGCAGGACAGCAGGCGGTCCCGATGTAACCCACTGTTATCCTCACCAACGAATTGTGACAGTTGAGAATGTGTCCTGCTGCAGAAAACAATCTGCCTTCTTGTGGTCAATGCCACATCGTCAGAACCACAATTGGACACATCGCTTTCTGAAGATGTGTCAGACCTGCACACGTGAATGTGGATGCGGGTTATGCCATTGTTCAAGGCAATTAGTCACACCCCAGCTTACGACCAATAGTGCCACACATTACTATGCACATTCATCGTTCAACAGTAGAAAAATGGAATTCTTTGCACCATTCAGCCAGAATTCTCTGAGGGCAATACTGTCACCTTACTTTCTTGCCATTGCAGCTGTCCCTCACCCAAACACAACTGTCAATACAAAGTATTGAGGCAGGAAGCCGCCAAAGAAAACACAGAATTGACATAACAGAACCCACCAGTGATCCCTCCGCATACTTTCTGACAAATGGTGCCAATTTGATTGTCATTGGACTCTGACACTGCCAAAGGTTTGCATTATTTTACAATCAGCAAATTGGCTTGAAAGTACACAGCCACTCACCCAGTCCCTTCACTGCCAGTATCGATGAGAAACTCATCATCTCCAGAGCCAGTAGCATGCCTCTGCTTTGCTGATGACTTGCGCTGCAGCACACAAGCCATGTATGCAGTACTTCTTGACTGGACAGGCGAATATCTGCACTTTGTAACTTTGTTGCTGGAAGGAAGCGATGTACACAGCAACTGTCACAATGAGCTGCACTGCAACCGTTGAATGCAGATGACACATTTTGCGCAGGATATTCCACAATCGTACATCTATGAGCCTGGTCATCCAGAAATGGAATGGAGAGATCTAGCAGTCCGGTTCAGTTGGAGGAGTGGCGAAAGTGTGGTAATTTGCATCATGGCATGTTTGTATCAGCAAATAAGTTCACACAAGTCGTGCAACAGAAAAATTGTTACCAGTCCGAAACACACAATCATTGGCAAATTTTCTGGGTATTGGCTCCAAAGACGCATTCCAAGCAATATCATCATACCTTTACTCGTGCGCGTGCAGCATTTAATCTTTTCACCATTTTGTTCTTCTTTTGCAATCTCCTTTGAGCCTCTCTTTCATTTCCTTGTGCTGTGAGCCAGTCTGGCAAGTCTCCTCCTCCCACATTTTCTGTGCCAAATAATCAGTTCAGACAAGAATGTGTTGAGGAGTCATCTTTACATAAATCCCTATCAAAACAATTGTGACCAGGATGTGAAACACCCACCTTGTTGCTCCCATTCTTTCTCTGCATCTCTCTTTCTGACATCTTCCAGCCATCGAAGAGTGCTGCAGATCATGCTGAGAGTTTTGCCAGTGCCTGTGATGACAACAGAAGAAAATTTCATGCTGTATGTGACGCTCAGCAGAACATCAATATTCGATGTTGCCTCATTTGACAAGTGCAATCAGCCCCTTATGGGGCTGGAGTCAACTCTCCTGCAGAAGAATCAAAACCACGTTATGCACATGCACATCTGGCCCTTTAATTCTTGTCAGCCCCAGACCCAGCGATCCAAGCCAAATAATATACTTGCAAGGCTGTGAATATGCCTCCACAGTTCACCACTGACCATGACAATTCAACAAACTCAACAATGTCCAGACCACCACGTTCTGGTAAGCACCACCTGCTCTGCAACTGGACCATTAGCCTTAGCACCAAGAGAACTGCACGTAGTGCATGGGAGCCACCAACCACAATGTTCCTCACCTGTGTGTGCCAATTGTTCATTCTCATAGCCATCGGGTTCGCAGCATGACAGTGCCAACTTGACAAACGACGGCAATTGCTTATTGCAGAGTTACAGAGGCGCGCAGAAAATGCTCCACCTGTTGGACTTTCAAACAAACCGATGCCACCGTGCTCCAGCAAAGCATAGAGCTCCCTCATGAAGTCCAGCTGAATTGAGTAGGGAGTAAAAGGGAAGGCAGGAAACGAATCTGCACAATATGAACACGCGTGAGCAGGCAATTTGCCAGCACAAAAGTCGACTTCCAGCTGCCTACTTGAGGTGCTGATTGTCAACCTTTGCAGCCAATCGTTGCATTGTGCCACCATTGGGCTTCTGCATTGTCCATGGGCGCCGGGTTTCTGATGTTAAAACACTATATGCATGTCCATCTGAAACAATTGGTCATCATGCTCTTGCTGGAGCTGCGCTTGGCATGTCCAAGATCTTGCCGATGCCAGGAACTGCTTGACTGGCCATGGCCCCAAAATTACTGGTTGCCAGCAACCCCGCCCCAATTTTACTCAGATATGAAAAGTTCTAAACCGCTAATGGAATCAACATCGTTATATGCAGCCTGAATGCCTGCCCTGCGATCAAGGGCTTTACGGCCTCACCTCCCCGAGGAGAAGTCCCGGTCGAAGGCCCCCTCCCGTCATCGAGGGATCCCCGCCCGTCATCGCCCGCGCGAGGCGCCCCTGCGCCGCCCACCTCACCATCTCCCATTGCCTCGGCTCCGCGCGAGCTCAGCGTCGACGGAGCCCAGGTCGTCGCAAACGTGGCCCCGTTTTCAAGCTTATGAGTCATGCCTCCCTATTTCTGTCTTTCCAAGCTCCAAATCATGTTCGCAGGGCCTGTCCTGGCGCTGTTACGGCTAGAACTGATTGAGTGTTACCAATAACTGAATGCATGAAAAGATGACGAAGCACTAGGAATTGCGTTAAAGATGTTGATGAACAGACTGAGTATAAAGGACGGAATGTCTCTTGTCCTTTTGCCTCGGCTGTAAGCCGTTGCCGTGGACTCGAGCGTACAATCCCCATTCAGGGATCGCCACCCCTCGACCCTGCCTGCCTTCGTCAGCGCCCACTGAATCGAACAGATTGAGCCTTTTCCTTCTTTCCTCGATCATCGATCATTCTGTCTTAATGAATGCCATTCCACATCAATCCAGGATTTCTTTCAGATTGCAGGAACTTATTCATTTTTCTTATAAAAAACACGATGGCATGCTCAGGCCGTCCCATGCAGGGAAGCGAAGCGTTAATGTGACTAATCGACGACATATTAAACGCATCTGCGAAACATCTTTGATTAGATAGATGTTTTTCATGCGGTGTCTCAAAGAGGCCAGCAGGCTTGGCTTTTACGTTTAGGTTTACGTTTTTACTTTTACGTTTTTACACGTAAAAACGCAAATTTGTAAAAGGACCTATGCTTACGGCTATTTTTACATTTTTAAGGCTCCCTGACACACGTAGCTTACACGATGAAAGTTGCGTACAATGATCAGTCCTCCGCTATCTCCAGCACCCGCAACACAATGTCCACCTCGCCTTTGGCAAGAGCGATAATGGCGTTTAACAAAAACTCGTTTTCTGCCTCTTCCAAGGCGTCTGGTTGCCAACCTCCGGACTCTGTAAATCTGTATGTACTGTCCTTATGTACACCAGGCAGTTTTTACGTTGTATTTACGTATTTTTACGCATTTCTACGCGCAAAAACGTAAGTACGATCAGTTTTTACGGCGTAAAAGGCAAGCCTGCAGGCCAGCACTAGAAACTGGGCGTTAGGCGGTAATTCGTACAGGTCGTACATTGCAGTAAATTCTGCCATCGTATTTTTTACAGTTTGTATGTTGCAGTAAATTTTGCCACCGAATTTTGGGAAATTGCGTTGCCTAGCAACACTGCTGCTTATTGTAGAAATTGAGTCAATGCCGCTGCCAGACGTTGAAAATATTTTGCTGTCTCGATTGGGACAAAAGGACACAGAGTGGGAGAATCGTGCTGTAACAATGCAGTCAAGCGCCCTGACCTGCCCGAAATTCAGTCACTTGTGTTGCCAAAGTGTCGAACACACTGTACTTCAGCAGACAAGGTCCCTCTGTTCCAAAAAGTGCCCCTGCCGTCCGTTCGGGACTAAAGGTCCGCCATTCCACACCCAGATAACTGCAATATCAAATGGCCCATCAGCAGCGTTGTTTCTGGTCCTGTCCATGATGTACACACTCCTCTGTAGACTTGCCCTCCGGAGCCATCAAATTCCTTTGTTGTTGCGGTGTCCCAGTGCCTTCGCTTTACCAATCTTCAACGTATTTCCCCTTTTCGTGCGTGTCACAAGTCTGCGGAATTGTGTCAACCCCTTTAAATCATGTGGCACATCTGCAACCTCGCCATACTCAGTGGAACTCTGACACTTCTTGATCCTCCCATCAAGTTCCTGTGGTACCACAAAGGTGAAGCGCAGCATAGCTATTGGTGAGTGACACCTATATGCTGTCACTAACTCATGCAATTGGAGCGCATTGATAGGGCGCCTTTCTGCAACAGTCATCTGCAGCATCTCAGTGATACCATCTTGTGCTCTCCAAAATGCATCAATGGCACTAGCTGTTGAGGACACTGGTTTGTAATAACGCCTTTTCTCAGTCCCACCGATTTCTCTTATGTCGTGATATTCGACCCTGTCGACGCGATGCTGCTTCACCAATGCATCATGAACTTCCCTCTCAAACCAACCTGCTTGTGTGTAGTGCAAGATTAATGGCTATTGTGTGCATACAAAGCCTGCCATGGCTTCTTCAGAGTGATTCTTCACTTGCAACCAAATCGCCCTTTCGATTTCTGGGCTACAATACTCCTTATGGAAGCTTTGTATCCCTCCGGGTGCATGTGCAACATCTTCCGTATTCCTGAAGTCCCATGTTCAAATCAAAACAGATTCTCCAAACCCGTAACGTCTGCACGACAATCTCGTTATCGTACCTCAAACATTTCCTTGCGGGTCCCAAACTGTTTTTTCGGAGCAAGCACGATTCGAGCATATCCACCAAACCAGGCTTGGTTTTTACGTTTACGTTTTTACTTTTACGTTTTTACGCATAAAAACGCAAATTTGCAAAAGGCCCTATTTTACGGCCATTTTTACGTTTTTACGGCTCCCTGGCACCCGTAGATTACACGGCAAAAGTTGCGTACAATGATCAGTCCTCCGGCATCTCCAGCAACCGTAACACAATGTCCGCCTCGCCCTTGGTAAAGGCGATAATGGCGCATAAAAAAACTCGTCTTCTGCCTCCTCCAAAGCCTCTGACTGCCACTCTCCGGACTCTGTAAATCTGTATGTACTGTCCCTATGTACACCAGGCAGTTTTTACGTTGTATTTACGTATTTTTATGCGTAAAAACGTAAAAACTATTTTTACGCATAAAAACGTAAATACGATCAGTTTTTACGGCGTAAAAACCAAGCCTGCACCAAACCTATGATAAGGCTCCCACACATCTGCTGCATCAAGCTCAGGATAACAAATTTTGGCACGGGACAGGAGCTCCTCCTCGGTGTATGGCGGCATGTAGTACAACAGACCGCTGAACTCAACGAAAGCGTTGTACTTTCGCAGCAAAGGAGGTGTGAATAGCATCACACCTCCAGTGCCTACAAACTTTCCAGTGAGCGCCTTGAAATCGCTTTCATGCAAATCGCAAAGACACCGAAGGCTTTCTAATTTGCAATAAACGGTGGGTGGTAGCGCCAGAACAGATATCGCGGCTTGCATGAGTGCCAGAAACGAACCGTGCAACCCCGGACACCCAACAAGACACACGGGGTTGACGCGACATCCATTGGGATCGGTGCGGGGTGGGAAACGTTATTTAGTCGCTGCCTTCCGACGTCAGCATGGAGGCCCCGCACCGGGGCCGGGCCGCGCCGGGCAGGCCCCGCTCGCCCCTAGCTAGGGGCGAGCCGCCCCCCCCCCCTTCAAAAATGGCCAAGTCGTTGGAGGGGGCACTGGCGTCTACCCTCCGCAGTTCCGCTTGGCACAGGGGCCGAACGCCAAGGATGGACTGTGGCCTCTGCGGGGCCCAAAGCGTGGCCACCAAACATGCCACAAAACGGTGGGAGTGGGAGGCCGAAAGTTGCCTCCCACTCCCGCCATTCTTGCCCGTCGTAGCCACCGATTGGTGCCACCCGCAGGTGCCCCGATTGGCATCCGCGAGTGGCGCCATTTGGCGCCCACAGGGGCCGAACGCCAAGGGTGGACTGTGGCCTCCGCAGGACCCAAACCGTGGCCACAAAACATGCCATAAAACGGCGGGAGTGGGAGGCCGAAAGTTACTTCCCTCTCCCGCCATTCTTGCCCCTCGTAGCCACCGATTGGTGCCACCCGCAGGTGCCCCGATTGGCACCCGCGAGTGGCACCACTCGGCGCCCACAGGGGCCGAACGCCAAGGGTGGACTGTGGCCTCCGCGGGGCCCAAAGCGTGGCCACAAAACATGCCATAAAACGGTGGGGGTGGGAGGTCGATAGTTGCCTCCCACTCCCACTCCCACCAATCTTGACCCTCGTGGCCACCGACTGGTGCCACCCGCGGGTGCCCCGATTGGCACCCGCGAGTGGCACTAGTCGGCGCCCATAGGGGCCGAACGCCAAGGGCGATATTCCGAACAGATTCACAACAGATCGCGAAATTCCGTGAATAGAATGGTCGTCCACAAACCCCCAGACGGTAGCGTCTGGACGGATTGCAGCCCTATAAAGTGGTTTGTGGTCCGTCCATCCGTCCGTCCGCGAGTTCTGGAAAGGGCTGCGGCAGTGCCGCGTGCTGTGCTCCAGTGCCCGCGCTCCTTGCCGGGGCCCTGTGCTTGAAGTCGTGAATGGTGCGCCTGGAGGCTAAACACCACAGGCAGCGATTTGCAATGCCAATGGCGCCCACCGGGCCAGTCGCGACCACGGTCATGGGTGTCGAGGTGCGGAACTGGGGAACTGCGGAGGGGAGGCGCCAGTGCCACTTCCCACGACTTGGCGGTTTTGGCAGGCGGGGCGCACGGGGGGCGCGGCTCGCCCCTAGCTAGGGGTGAGCGGGGCCGGCCCGGCGCGGGGAGGCCCTGGTCCGGGACCTCCATGCTGACGTCGGAAGGCAGCGACTAAATAACGTTTCCCGTGCGGGGTTGTGCGGACAGCCGTGCGCAATGCGAACGGATATGTAGTGCCGTTTGTCCTGTTTGTCCTGTCGCTCACGGGACAAACAGCACCGTCCAGGCCACGCGGAGATCTGCCTGTGACGACCCAGCCCGTGGCCTGTGACCGTGGACAGAGGCTTTGTGCGCGAAGGGTCCACCAGGAGATCGCCAGGGGCGCAGTGCTCGGCTTGGAGTGCGTCGCCACCACAAGCTCGCGAGCTGACACACAATTTTAGCCCGCTGGGAAGTCAAGCCATTGGCAGTCGCCTGTGTGCACCAGCTCGCGTGCAAAGAGGCGTCGGTGGACAGCGCTGACCTAAAGCTGGGTCTGAAGGGTGGCAGAGGGGCGCCACGAGATTGACGAGAACAGCTACCGGCAAGTTCGCGACTCCAGGGGGCCGACAGGCACGCTCGCTGACAGGAGAACTCAGGGGCGAAGGGGAGCGAGGTGGACAGAAGGTAAGAAAGGAACGGGGGCGTCGCTGTGGAGAATTCGTAGTCCAGCTGAGCAGCGCCAATGATTTGTGGCCTTTGTTGTGCCACAATTTCCTTACGCCTGCTCTTCCCATCACAGCCAGCATCCCAGGCACGCATGCCCTGGCGCAAGCATGCGTGGCCAACGTTCTTTTGCAGCGCCTTTGGCCTATTTTCACGTGTGCGCATTCGTGACGGTGTGAGCTGCTCGCCTCAGGGCTCTTTGACCACAGGCAATCTGTGACAATTATCGCTGCCTCAGAACATGTGGGGCCGCCCAGACCAAAGCAACATCCGCATCTGACTGAGGACCCGGTGCGCTACCAAAGCCCATTGTAATTTTGCTTGTTTGCTTTCCCAGCCGTGGTGAACATCTGTGCAGTGTATATGTCAGTGGCACAGCCTCTAAACACAGTCCATGTGCGCTGTGCACTCCTCACAACAGTGGCTTGTGTCCAGGTGCAGCATTTGCAGTAAAGGGACATATAGGATTCGACGGGAAGCATGAAAGTGCGAGTCTTGTTCTTCGCACGGAGTAGGGAGGTGACAAAGGAGATGGCTGTGGAGCTAGCTCTTGATGAGGGTGCAACAAGCAAAACACTGGTGGATCTCCTAGTCCAACGGTACCCTGGCCTTGCAGAAGTGCTTGCAACCAGCGTCCTTTCCAGGAATCAGGAATACGTTGAGGATGGCAAGGACGTGGCGTTAGAAGATGGGGATGAGCTTGCCGTGATTCCACCCATCAGTGGAGGCTGAAATGGGTACGAAGTACCCGATGCTTGCAGACCAAGGCATCAATGCTGTGCAGCTGTAGGTGCAGTTTTGCGCATCTGCTGGAGAGCAACGGGGTCGGTTCAGGAAGCATTGATTGCCCACCCTGACATTGCTTTGTACAATACCAATCCCATCGCAATTTGGTTCAATACCTGCACGAGCCTAGTTTCCAGCACCCTGAGACGGAAATACAGCCCCCTCCCACAGTATTGGGAGCCACATCCATTGGTGGTGCGCAGGATCACCCACAATTAAGGGTTGCCCGATACAGTTTTGACCCAAGTCCGGACCATTTGCAAGTCACGTTGGAATGTGTCAGGGGAACCATCCAGGCATAATTTGGTGAAAACCCCTTGTGGTGTGGCTGGTTGCCCGTGCTCAAGTGCAACCAGCAGCACAGTGGCAATCCAACAACACGCATTCTAAGCAGCTGCACGCGGGTGTACTCTCAACAGCTTGCTTGCTTATGTGTGCCCAGCCCATGCTTGAACTGTCTGGAGCAGTGCTGTTGATGGGGCCTGCACTCTGTGGGGTGCCATCCACCATCCATACCGAGCACTCCATCTCCATCCCAGAATGTATCGTCTCTGCTGGTGTTTGGACCAAACTCACTGGCAGGCTATGAGCACCACTGGCCTCATGTGCTCCAAATGTGCTCTGTAAACCAATTTTCTGGCCAGCACAATGGCATGGAGAAAGCACTGTGAAATTGTTTGCATTTGCTGGCCAGCACAATGGCATGGAGAAAGCCCTATGAAATTGATTGCATTAGTCCTTGTCTACAATCCCATCTTGCCTAGCTGGTGTTCAGGAGCCTACATTGCCAAAATGCATTCCTCTTGGCAGCAAATTCGTCTGCTGCGCATGTGTCCTTTGGCTGTCTTTTGGTGCCACACAGGTACAGACAGCTCTACGAACTTTGTACACAGCATGGACCTCCTCCCGATCCCTAACCTCAATCCTATGATCATGGCACCATGGCCTTTCTTCTCATTAGCTTGCTAGCCACTAGCCCGCCAGCCATTTTAGCTCGTCACTATTTTCTATCCGCAGAAATGCATCAATAACTTCAATCCTGCTTCAGACGAGCCCCAGACTAAGATTTTGCACAACCCTAGTGCCAAGATCTGGGTTTCACAGATCGCCTCATCCCAAAACTGCAACAGGTACCCTTTGCTTCAGGCCACTGCTCACTCTTCGGCATCCAGCAGAACAGCTTGCAGTGCAGATCGTCTGCTCGTTTGCAGGAGGCCCGCACTCTCTTCCCTTCCGGAGTCCATTCGATAACCGTTTGCACCCTGCACGTCCGATGCCCCCTTTCCGATCAGGTCAGGCGGGCGAATCAGCGTCGGGGGGCCTTCTTGATTCGACCACGCGTCAAATTTGCCGTCTTCGCCCCTGTCCCCCAGCCCGCCCTCCCCCGCGGACTCCTCCGCATTCTCGCCCTCGCCGTCCCGGCCCTGACCCTCCCGATCCAACAACCCCAGCACGTCTCCGCCCGCGACCCTGGCCAACACCTCCGAGGTCTGGTTCGCGTACTCCTCGCCAACGCCGCCCGTCTGGATCGCCGTGCCCTCCTCGGCCTTCTCATTCTCGGCGGTCCCGTGCGCATCCCCTCCGCTGCCAACCGTCTCTGCCCCCTGGTTGGCGGTGACTGGGCTCGTGACTGCAGTCGTCACCGGGCTGGTGACCGGCGCCTTGGGCACCGCCTGATCGACCACCTTGGGCGCGGGCTTGACGTTCTCTGGCTGGGCGTTGCCCGAGCCGCGCATCGCCGCGAGCTCCTGCTTGAGGTCGGCGGCCTGGCCCTCGGCCTCGGCGGTGCGCGAGTTCAGCTCCTTGCACTCGCGCTGCAGCTGGTCGAGGTCCGCCTGGAGGGTGCCCTGCTTGGCTCTCAGGTCCTCGGCCTCCCTCGCCTTCTCCGTCTTCTCGCCCTGTGGGCAACACGGGCGCCGCAAGGGGCGCAGTCACACACGCGCAACAGTCGACGGCCGACAGCCGGCAGCCCCATGCGGAATTGGGCGCGGCTGGTCAGTCCTATGCGGTGAAGACAAAGGGGGACGGGAGCCATCGATATTTTCGCATCAGGGTCGCTGCATGGTGGACGCACATCAGGCTCGGGGGCAAAACCAAAGCGGCCTGGAGCAAGCGGAGGATGTCGTCGCCACTGAGCGGGGGAGCCCAAGGCAGGTCGCTCAAGCTGACGACCGCAGGACAGCCGGGAGCGGAGCCCGCGCGCACGTCCCACCGAGCAGCATTCGACGCGCGCACCTCGCAGTCGTTGAGCTTCTCCTGCAGGAACTGGTTGAGTTTCTCCAGGGCGGCCTTTTCCTCCATTATCCTCTGCACGGAGTTCTTCTGCTCCGTCAGCTCCTCCCGCACCGCCTTCTCCTGCTTCTCCATCCTGGCGTGCACGCCGCCAACCTCCAGAGCCAGATCAGACACTTGGCGCCTCCAGTAAATGAACTGGCCCACCAGGGCGACGCTGAGCACCACGACCAGCACCATGTACAGGCCGTTCCCTCGGCCCCCCCTGGATCTGTGGGGAGCGTAGGACGGCAGCATTCTCGCCTCCACACCCGCCCCCCGTGCTCCAAAAGATCAGAGAACGAGTCCAAATCGCGGCGGCCTTGCCGCACCCGGGCCAGGGGCGGGGCTCCCCGTCGATGCTCGAGCGCCTGGCCAACGCCGAACCGCCGAGGTCAAAAGGAGGCCCTGACTTCACTGGTCTCTTCCGCTGGGGTTCGGCTGGCTGAGGTCGCGGAGTGGCGCGATGTTCGTCACCTGCTGCCAGCGCTGCTGCCGCGCGTCAGAGGTTGTGCGCCAACTCACAAAACACAAGACGCCCACCCTCCCGTGTCTCCCTGCATCGTGAATGGGGACTCCTGCTAGTTGTCATGTGACCTAGGTGTGACCTAGGCCATTCTTTCCTGCCGTCAAAGGTACCGATTCCTGAGAAAGCACATGGCTTGGGGAGGGCTGACGGTGAAGCCTCGCAAGTACAACGAACCATGAGGCCCACATCTGTTTCAGTGGGTTTGGGTGTTGCGAAGTCACTCCCAATGCTCAGAAGGGCGACGCAGTGGCCCTCGGGAAAATGGGCATCAACGGATTCTGAGCACACTGCTGGGCATAAGTTTAGGGAAGACACTGTTGTTGATTGTTGTGCGCTTGGGACTCAAGAACGCCGAGATATGCCCTCTTGCCATTCATTGCGCTCGTTTGTGTGCACCTCTCCTTCAGCTGGAGGTTCTGCATCATCTTTCCACAACATAGAAAGGAGTTTCGCACGCACTTGCTCAGTAGGGTGTGCTCTTCGCATGATCTGTTTTCTTTTGAGGTGTACCATATCCTAACCGCTTGAGGGCTGAAGCTGTCGCACCTCTAGTCCTGACTTTAGGTCTGTCGGAGGGGCCTCCTTCCTCTTTAGCAAGTTTTTCCATGTTCTTTGCATGAGCAGCAAGCGAGTAAGTAATGCTTGCTGATTTGTTGCCGCTGGGCGTTAAAGAGCGCCAGCCCTAAATTCACAAGCTGAGCTAACTGGCAAAGTGCACAAAATTGAATCGCATGTGGCATCCTGAGAGCCTATGCTAACAAGGTATTAGCCGTATTTCGGTGACATCGAAAGCCGCTCTGGCTCCCTCTGCATTCCTCCGAACCATCATTGGAATGACAGCAATGCTATTCTTATGAATTGAATGTGTGAATTACCTTAACGCTAATACGCCTTTAGGGGCCGACCGCGGTGAACCAATCTATTTTACACTCTTCCAGTAATCAATAAAATGGCAAGCGTGCCGTCGCTCAAAATTCTTTTAAACAAAGTTTATCTTTGTCCTATGGACGCCCGGCAGTCTCGGTCCCTGTTCGTGGGCCGCAAGTACCGATCAAGTATGCTGTCCACCCGCCCTCTTGTCCAGCAATATGTCCAGATTAGCGCATGTGTTACAAATTTTGCGAGGTTGTTGGCAGCTGTTGAACTCAGCCCCTAAATGAACACATTGATTGTGACCCGGAATGGCGTGGTTCATTTCTGTTTGGGACGATGGGCTGGGAAAGCGTCCAATATCTGTGTTGAGGACTCGGCCTGCTCGTTGGCAAACTGTTGACGGGACTAAATGTGTACGCGCGATTTTGTTGGCAATAACAGCAACAGGGAGCGTCAAGGGGCCTCCTTGTGGTCCCCGTGGTCCTCGGGGCCGTCCTGTAAACGTTGCGACATTATTGGCAGGAGTTTTACATTATCCGATAAATCTGACTCAGGCTTCCTCTGATTAAATTTTGAGCAGGATTGGATTAACTTTCCGTGCAATGGGCATTTCCATTAACCCAGCTAATTTCATATTTTGTAGCATGCCTTTTGCGCCTTTTAGCACCGCAGAGCGGCTGTCCATGCCAAATTCCTGGCCGGTCCAAGGTGTCCTGTCATTCACTCGGCCACCACGCCATGGCTGATGCAGCGTGTCATTCATGTGCCGCACAAGTCATTCACCGCACAGTGCAGCGGAAACATTTCACAGCAACTGCCCTCTTTTGCGGAATATTGTAAATTTTGGAATTTCGCAAATTTGGGACAATTCGCGAATCTAGCATCATGACGCTAGGCGTGATTACGCCTGCTCACGGTGATGCACCAAGAAGCACAATTATGTGATAAATGCGCATCTTTGGCGATGACATCTCAACGACTCCTCAGCCAAACATTTCCCAAAAGGAAAAGGCGGCTTCCATGCGAGGTCATATTCACGAAGGACATCGGCAGCTCCCCGTGAACTTCCCAGAAGAAGCACGAATCATCCGGTTCCGGCAAATAACCATCACGTCATAGTCCCCACAACGTCGTCCTCTTCCCGGTCATGCACGACACCGTTCACGTAACGGTGTTGCCGCTGCGTGCCCTTGGGGCACTGGCCGCCCCGTAACATCTTGTCTGCAATGGGAAGTGCCGCACAAGTTGGCGACGCAGCCCGTTGGACCTGCGCCCGAGGACAGCCCGGCCAGCCCCTCCCCGGCGGCCCAACATGTCCACCTCGGCTGGCGAAACCCGGGCGGAGGTACGTGCGACCGTCGCAGGCGCCCACTGAGCACCGCCCCAGGGACCGTCCCCTTTATCACACTGCTCAGCAAGACTGCTGGAGGAGCGATGGGCCCGCACCGACCGCGATTGGCTGGCGGCGTTGAAGCCGACCACGGGCTTGAAACGCGCCACGGCCTGCAGCTCCGTGCTCAGGCGGCCGCGGCTGCGCGCCGATTGTCGCGGATTGGTTTGGGCGCGGGGTTCTGTCCCCAATCGGCCCCCGTTGCGAACCCATGCCTCCGGTGGAAGGAAACGCGTTTGCGAGACGCGCGCACTCTCCCCTCGGGTGCCCTTCCGAATTCGCTTGCTGTCCGTCACGCCGCGTTCCTCGCGCTGTATGCCTCATTGTGGCGCTCCGCAACCAGGGAATTATTTGCATCCGTGTCCCGCAATGGCGCCGGCAAGTTATGTACTTTGGGGGTGCAGAATTTCAACCCGACGGGGCGGCGGGAAAAGCACTGCCTGCATTGACCCTGGAATTGTGTGCATGTGGTCAGGTGCTTGCCCCGGTGAAGGATGACAAGCGGTATCAGGACTACAGGGCGAAAACTGATATGAGGGAGCCGTACAGGTGGGTTGATGAGCTGTCATGTGGTTCACTAAGGGCTGCCGACAGCTTCCAGGGCGGTGGCGGATGGCTCAGTCGGTGACAGTAAGAATTGGCTGGGGAGGTGTGTTGCCTCTGGGTATTGCTGTGCAATTTCCTTCCATTTTTGTGAAGACACCAGTAAGAGCTCGCCCGGGGGAGCTTAGTTTATGACAATGGCTATGAGTTAACTGTCACACAGATGATTGTGGGCCACATGGGCAACGCCAACCACTGCTGTTGCAATTTTGCCAGTATTGGCAGCACTGTACCTCCAAGGGTGGTTGAGAATGTGTGGTGGCAACTGGGGCAATTGGGCTTTATTGCTTTCAAACTCTCTGCAACAACAGAAAAACTTAATGGGCGATTTAACTTCATGGTCATGGTGATCGCGCATTTGCTGGCTGAATTTCAAACTTGAACCTTCCAACAGTGGAAGACAGGCATGCTATGCAGATTGAGCTGATCTTGGCATTGTCTGCAGGCTTCCTGCCGAGGCCCTTAAAGATGTCACAGACATGGTTGTGTACGATGTTGCTGAGGCACCGCTCATCGCTTTCATTAATCCAGGGTCTGGTGGTCGAGTGGGTGAGAAGCTGTCTTCAACCCTTGCCAAGTCCTTGGGAGCGGAGCAGGTGCACAAGTGTATTGACTTCTTGCCCTGTTGTCGATCTCAAAGTATGTTATGCCACTCTGCACCATTTGAACCTGCATTATCCTACCATGTCCACATACCGCCCTGATGGATAAAGTATGTACTCCAGATTGCAAAAGGACAGGAAAGTTGGGTCACTGGCCAGAACCTTTGGCACCTTTGACTGTGTTAAAATCTGTATATGAGAAGTACATGTCCATCACCAATACAGACCCCAACCCATGCTTGGTCCGCTGCGCTGGTAGTGCGGCTCATGAGTGCACTGGGTCCTGCTGTTTATTTGCACAAGGTTTGACACATTTTTGGCACAGTCAATTGACAGGTGAAGTTGCAGCTTTGTAGAAGGGAACAGCAGTTCAAGATGGCAATGGCCTAGCAAGATTCACTACTGAAATGGCAACAACGGCAAATGTGTTAGCTGAAGTCATCTGATAGGTGAATAGGCAGTGTTTTGCCATATGGTTAGCTGCAATCAACGAGGACATTGTTGATGCTGTCCCTGCCAGGTGTACAATCCAGTCAAATCTCAACAGAATCCTGTGAAAGTCCTGAGGAAGATATGGGACAATCTCAGTGACCTGGAAGCATCAGGTGACCCCAGGGGAGGCGAGATTAAGCGCCGCATGAAAGTTGCGGCATGTGGCGGAGATGGGACTGTTGCGTGGGTGCTTGGTGCTGTGAAAGCTGCGCAACTGGACCCAGAGCCAGCAGTGACGATCATGCCTCTGGGAACTGGTGAGAGCATTGTGTTTCTATTGTTGCTGCCTGTTTGTTTGCTGTCACCTTTGTTGGTGGATCACACAGATAGTTCAATTTTCTTTTGTTGTGTCAACTACGTTGGCCCATGTACCAGCTTATACAGATGTGCGTGCTATTTGTAGCCAGCGTTGACTTTGCAACCCAAGGTAAGAGATGAAAATGGAAAAATAATGCAAATCCCCTTCAGCTCAATCAAGCTGAGAATCTACACGTACTTGGAGAACCTGTTGCTCCCCTTGAGCCCTTTGGCAGCACAGCAGGCTACAACCTAGCGATGGTTCTGCTGATGGCCTGATCATCATCTGTTGCTGTCGCCGATGGCTCATGGGACAGTGAGGACTGTATTGGTGATTGCGCTGCCACTAAGATGGAGCTGCACCATTGGATCTTCTTGTGTGCATATCTGTTCGTGCCTACTTCCTCCGTCCCAAATTAAATTGCTGTTGTGAATCGTGGGCATGGAAACCTACCAAGCCATCTCAGATTTTACAAAAATTTGTAACAATGTGCTAATTTGAGTCGAGTTTGTGCTCCCAAATTTTGAGTCAATCCGCTAAGTACTCAATCCGCAGTGTCATCTGAAACATATGTCACTGAGCCAAGCATTTCATGGTGGCTCCGAAACAGTTCATTTTCGGGTTATGGACCATGTCACCTTGTGGTGCCCCCACAGCGCCAAGTGATGCGACTTAGAGATGCGTTTCAGAGGTTGGAGCCGAGTTACAGGAGCGGAGAGCTGGCTACTAGTACGTCCCAAAAGGCGTCATCGAGGATCTCGCCCGTCTCTTGCTGCCATCGCCATTTCCTGAATTGTGAATTGGTTGTGCGGCGCAGTCTTTTCAACTCCAGTTGCAAACTGCTCCCACTGTTTCTTGGGACACTCTGTAGTTCCCTTGCCATGTGCGGGACAAGTTTATTTCCTCAGGATCGGTGATTGCATGTCGGAATGGCTTGCCGATGGTCTCAATTGTTCTGCACGAAGTCGGAATCTTTAGGTGCGATCTTGGATCACCCCTTTCCGGACATGCTGTCAGCCTCCCCTCTGCCTCTATACCTCTGCTCCGACCTGCACTCTAAAGAAGGTCTTCAACTCATGTTGCTTCGCGTGGTGGGGACCACCGCAGGTTGGCTTCGTCCAGGCTTGAAAACAAGCGGTTTTGATGCCACCTTGAAAAACTGGGGTATTTCCAGAAAAGTGGAATCTGTTCAACATCGCACGGAGGATTGATTACTTAGCCGATTGACCCCAATTCTGGGTGCGCAAACTAGATTCAAATTGGAACATTGTGATCAATTTATTTTGGTGGAATTCTGAGGTGTTTTTAGTGGGTTTTCCAGGGCCACAGATCATAACTGCATTTTGGTATGGGATGGAGGACGTACAACGTGAGAACTGTGTGTGGCAACCTTTGCAGCATTGGTTATTGATTTGTATTTCTTGGAGGAAAGGCAGTCTTTGTGAACAGATATGATGTTGAGCTTGTCGTTGCTTGCAGGGAACGATTTGTCACGCACATTTAAGTGGGGATCCCAGTTCAAATCCAAGTGGGTGAAGAAGCCTGAAGCGATCTACACTCAACTAAAGAGAGTGAGTTCACCATGTGGCCCATGCTGTCACTTGTGTGCTTCATCGTGTCCTTTTCTACAGAGTAAAAGAGTTGCATGTCCTGAAGTTCTGTTGTGCTGGGTGGTTTCTACAGCAGTGCCAAAGTTTAGCAGTAGAATCCAGAGCTGTATGATCCAGCACACTCCTAGACTTTCAAGACATGGAAATTGTCCACATGTCACTGTAGGAGTTAGAAGGCCAAGGATGTGGCCACTTGTCCCTGCAGAGCAGAAGATCCAAACATGGTGCTCTCTCTTGTCAATTTGTGTTTAGTGTGCTGGCAAGTAGATGTGAATGGGACAACAAACCAATTTTTCACCACTGTGGCCACTGCGGCAAACAGTTCAGGTGCTGCATGTGTGGCTCTGGTGCTGTGTTGACTTGTGGCCTCTGCATCCAACATTCACTGCATTTCCTTCAGATGGCTGAAGGTCCAAAACTCGAACTGGACGTCTGGAAAGTGAAGATAACTGCCCCAAACGCATCCATGCTTGTCAAGGAAGAGCTTCCACCAGGTTTCATTCCTCTTTCTGGTGAAGGTACAACAGTAGAAGCACTGTCATGGAACTACATCAGCGTGGGTGTGGATGCAGAATCTGCATACAGGTCAGTTTCATGAACAGGCATCAAAAGCACAGCATTGCAAACATTGAACGATCGTATCATCGCCTTAAAAGGGTGCAAGCACAACACTTTGTCTCTTTGTGGCAAACCTCTGCAAGGAATGACCTGACAAGACAGCGATGACAAGGAGGGACCTATTCTAGCCAGTGTTTATGTCACCATTTCTGTAGATACTTTTTCATTGTTACTGGCGTCTGGCAGCCATTGGGGAGGCAGCCAGGGAGATGGAACAGTTTGTATGGATGTTAGCAGTGCCACATCGCTTCCGCCAACTGTTCATCTTGCAACCTTGTAAACTGTAGAGTGCAGGTGCTGGGTCATTCCTGTATCCTTGGAATTCAGTGTCCATGGTGCTGTACCCTCTGGATGACCCCTCAGCAATATTTGCGTAGTTGTGCTTTGCAGATTCCACCATCTCCGCAACACGAAGCCATATCTGGCTTCTACCCGTATGCTCAACCAGATGTGGTATGGCATTTGTGGTTTCCGTGCAGGTGAGATGGGTGTCAATGATGTGAATTCACGAGAAATGCCTAGTCAGGAGATCTTTCTCTTCTGCACACTGTATCACGGGTGCACTTGTTGTTGGGTGATTTCGTTGCTGTGTCATCTTGTAAATAATGAAGACTTAAGCAGAGCCTGTTGTAATTGTGGTCTTCGAACAGTTGGGAGCATGACAATAATTTTCATTTCACAATTCACATCCCGACACCGCTGAGTTTCGCATTGTTTTTTTGCAGGTTGGTTCTGCTGCCCTCCTGGTGTGAAAAACAAGGTGTCCATTGAGATCATGAAAGAGAACAACACCTGGACAGACCTGGAGCTGCCAAGTAGTGTGAAAGCCCTTATTCTTTTGAATCTGCAGAGCTACGGTGGTGGCAGGAACATATTTGGCACCAAACTGGGGCGGAAGGACAAGGAAAACTTCCAGCAACCCAAGTTCAACGATGGCCTGATAGAAGTACGGCCTTTGCATTGAGGGGTGCTGTTTGCAGCTGTTATCCTGAAGGCTGTTGTGATGCCTGCCTGACGATCTTCATCCCAAGTGCACTGAATTTCTTTCTGGGCTAGGTGCCCTACTATTGTTTCGAATTTGGTGTGTCTTGTACTAAGGTGGCATGCTTTTTCTCATCTAGGAAGCACCTTGCACAATCTTGCACATTGGTGTGTGACAGTGCTGTATGAATGAGAGTGAAAATTGTTGCCACAATTGTCCAAACCTGCTATGCAAGCATTAAGGGCCAGCATCGGCTTCTATAACAACTTGCAAATCACTCCAGGAGTTGTTGTAACTTGAATGTGGTGACTTGTTTTGCAATTGCAAGCAAGCTTTCTGACTTTCCAACATTGTTGTGCAGTTCTCCACTGGCTGGCTCCAAACATTTTCTGTGCCTTGTGATTGGATAGGTTGTGGGCCTGGGACATGGTGTGCACACTGCATTCGTTTTAACAAATGTGAGGCATGCAATTCGTTTGGCACAATGTCGGGCTGTCAGGATGAAGATCAGAGCACCTGAACGGCCAGATGGTGAACCTGGCAGAACGTATATGCAACTGGACGGGGAGCCTTGGCCGCAGGCCATTCCAAGCGGAAAATCTGAGCAGCCTCTGGTGGTAAGGAGTGACAGCGAGCTTTTACTTGCTTAGATTGTTGTTCGAACCTGGAAGTGATTCATTGGTTATGATCAAGGGAGTTAATTATAGATTGTTCTGTTTGCTGAAACTTCCTTCTGGTTTCCCTCTATGTGAGAACAGAAGACGGCCAATGTGTTTCAGTTATGATTCCTTGGAGGCTGTAGGTGTGCACCTTGCCACTAACTCAGCAAATGTCTTCAGATGGAAGTGACGCTGGAGGGCAAGAGTCTGTTGGTGATGAATCCCAAGGCATTGAAAGGGCAGCCATCAACCAGCAATGGCCATACTGAAATTGCAACGACTGCTAATGGATATGGAGGAAATGCAGTTGCCGGTGGGTACTGTTGTGAATGCAAGGTTGTGGTGGCTGCTGTTGCTGCTGCTTAATGTGTTGCTGTTGTGACTTCCATATGTTCAGGCATGAACGATGGTGCCCCAGCCCAAAACCCCACATCTTTGTTCCCTGGCCACACAATTACGCAATCGACAGGTCGATGGCTGGCCAGCTTTTTCATACTCAACCTGCACTTTGTATCTGTGTGTCTGTTTCAGACCTACTACGTTTGCCCACTCAATGTTCCGGCACATGGTTCAGTGTGTCTGCTTTGTGGATTTCTCATAGAGCATTTGGCTTCCAGTTGTGAGTAACCCAGGGTTTGCAGTCCCCCTTTGGGACCAAACAAAGCGCATTTGCGGGGCTGCATGCTGATTCAGGAATACACTGAATTCTGGAAACGTATTGACTCGTTTTTGGAAGGGGGGAGGGAGGGGGGGGGATGTGTTGGGTAAAATTGTAACGTACAGGTGATCCTCCATCACTTCTGACACTAGGGCCCAATGTGGTGTTGGGGACACAATCTGAGGATTAAACTCACTTCGACTTGCCAATTTATTTTTGGAACAGTGCACTTTTCCATTTCACATCTAACAGAATGTCTATAACTGCGAGGAGAAACGTTGCCATTTCCTAGTGCAAGATGCTGAAAGAGAACCCCTACTTGGCCTGGGATGATTGACGGCTGGACGGGAGCTGTGATGAAGCAACCCAAGCCTTTGAGCGTAGAACCCCTTTGGGGTGTCGCATCCTGTTCTGGTATGTTGCGTTGGCATACAGATTGTATGAATATGCAATTTGAAAAGAAAAATTGCATGTCCTGTAGGATCCAACTAGATATACATATCCAATATGGTCGAGTTTACAGGGACAGACGTACAGAACGAGGCCCTAAGGAGGTATCCATGTTGTCCGCACAGGTGGTGAACGTGCAGTGGAGCTGACAGCGGTACCAGATGAGCCACCAGCCACCCAAGTCGAAGGCGAGACGAGCGCGGCTGGGAGTGAAATGGCTAAAACAGGGCTGGACGCCAAAGAAGAGGCGGGTATGAGCGGGGATGGGAAGCCGGGGCCTGAAAGCGCCCCGGCCACAGAGGAGGTAGGGGCGCCAAGTGGGGCTCAGGACTCCACGGAGGACACTGAGACAGCAACGCCAGTTGCCGAAGTTGAGGCACATCCAACTGGAAAGGAAGCCTCGGAACAAAATGAAGAAATCAAAGCGGAGGCCGCCAAAGAGGAGCTCAAAGAGGAGCCCAAAGAGGAGGCCAAAGAGGAGGCCAAAAAGTAGGCAGATGTTTATGACTTTGATTGTGACTTGTTTGCACGAGAGTGCGCTTGCGGGTTGTGTGTCCAACTCCGTTGGTTACGTTATTGTCGCAACAAGACAAGGCAGGCCCTTTCACCAGGCTGGCGATGTTGGGCAGGGGACGTGTGAGGTGTTTTGCGTGTGCAGCTGGGGCACGCGGTTGTCCCCGGCAGCTGCTGGCTGACGGAAGTGTATGTCTATAGATAAGTTAAGTTGTGGAGGATGTGTGGAATTTTGGTGGGCCGCATCGTGAAAAGGACTGAATTGTCTTGCGCTGGTCACATCAAGGTGGCGGATTGGGGAGTAGCTATTTTGGCTAAAGTTGTAGGATTGTTTTGCTGTGAGGAGTGTGGATTGTGCTCTGGCAGCTATTGGGGCATAGGGTCCGCGTCCAGGTGGAAGGTGCCCTGCAGAGAAGTTTGGGTTTTTGGGTGTTTGCTTCGTCCGTAGCGCAAGTGCTGACTTTCTGGCACACTGGCCTAGAACTCAAGGTTGCGCGTTGTGCCACCTACACGCAAGAACGGAGACAGATGTTCTGATGCTAATACAGATCCTGGAAGATTGCGATCGGAATGCAAGAGGGCAATGGAGTTGATCGATTGTGATGGCTTATAGATCTTCGGCAATTTAAGCTTGTAATTCAAACTTTTTTTAAAATATCGGAGTGCTTGGGCATTTTGGTACAATTTGTAAACAATACCAAACTGCACAAGCACACTTTTCCCCACTATCAGCACATTGTCACAGTAGACAGCAATCTAGAGGCTTGCTCTCCATTTGTTTACGTTTATCCTTAGGGTGGAAGGCTGGCACCCATTCAAACTCTCGCATTCCATTTGCATGAACACGTGATCAGCACGTGCGGCGTTCGCAGGACGCTTGAGTCAGGTGTGCAGCTTCGCGCTCGGCAGAGGAATGTCCAGTCCAAGCCAACGTTCGACCAAGCGAGAACCTAATTTCGACTAACTCAGCTGTACTTGGCAGCAGCGCCACTAGGGAGTGGCGATGGAACGCTGTAGGACGAGCCTTTCCACCGTTGGTGGGGCGAAAAGGGCGAGCCTGGTCGGCCAGCGTGGACGACCCTGCACCATGGCGCTCGGTTCGAAAGTGGATCAAACCCCCACTCTCATCGTCCCCTCATCATCGTCACTCGAACTCTCATCGCCTGCACATCGTCACCCGAGTTCTCCACTCTCACTCCCCAGCTCCCGTGCAAGGATCAGAACGGCTCGTGGCTCGTCATATCTCCGTTTCTAAGTTCTTGGTCTGCGAATCCGCACTGCTCAGAGCGGCCATGGCCCGCGATTCGGTCTGAGACTTGGAATGTGTTCCGAATTGGCCTACAGTGCCCTTTCGTTGTTCATGAGGTGCTTATCGGCCTCGTATTCCTTTCCCAGGGCACCAAATTCCCTTACGCTCGACCTCTCCGTAGCGACTGCCGGGTGTATGGATGCCCTTCAGCGCTTTCAAGGTGCAACCGCCGAGGTTTGTCTTTCTAAGGCAATTTTGAACAACGCAATACGGTAGGGACGCAATAGGAGAAGGTCTGCACCAGTGCAGGGACACCGACACGTCCACAGAGCGTGGCGCGGCTGTGCACTAACAGCGCAACGGCCTTGGGAGAGTCACACGCACAGCACACCACAGAAGGCAACGCTTGCCGGAACGTCGACTCAGTTTTCGTTCTTTTCCGCACAGTTCCCCCTAAGTTCGGGTGCTGTGGTGGCGGCGGAGCACGCAAAGCCCTCTGCAGATCCCCTGTTACCCAAACTTGACCCACGAACTCTCCTGCAATGCCGTTGGCCCCAGGGGCCATCTCTGAAGTACGGCCTGGTGAGCGATCGCGACAGAAAACAACAGCGCAACTGCCATTGGGCTGTGCGGATCAGTCATTGCCCATGAGCGAAGGGAAGAGCACCAGGGCCGTCACTTCGTTAGTCATGCCAACACGTGCTCCATTCGTGGATGCCTCTCTTGGAGTTGCCCGTGGGTGGGTTGCCAACGCACAATCATGGGGGAGGGTTGGTTAGATGGGACAGTGCCTATCCCATCTGGGAAAACGGCCCAAAATCCGGTGGGGATTGTGCAGCAGAAAGATGCCGACATTGTGCGGATGTGTTCTTGGGCTCCCATCTACGCAGCCTCTGCTTGTCGCTTGGTGGGGCGGCCCCGGGCGGAAGCCCAGCGCGTGAATCCATGCCCGCCCGGGTGCATCGACGGGCCGCCGTTATGGATCTGGGCCGTCCGCCGCAGCAGGGGCTAGCCGGCCCAGGGACCTGGCCGCCGTCGCGCCGACCTAAATCGTCAGGTACCACTCGCGCTGGCAGTCGGCATGCCCAGGCGAAAGCAGGGCCTGACCGAAGCAGGGACACGGGATGCTGTGATCTTCCCCCCCTTTGCTGGCCATGCGCAAGGAACGCGAAGTTCGGCGGGTGGGACACAGATCCGAGCTCTGTGTTTTGGGACCCCATCCGCTGAGGGGTGTCTGGATCCCATTGTGCCTGTTGGGCGGCTCTCGGCCAGCGTATGGCATCCTTTCGAGCCGGGATGGAACAAATCTCGAAACAATCTTTGCTCAGAACTCTCCGATCGTTTCGCATGCTATTCTGATGGCGAGTCGGTGATCTTTCGTCAAAGGGTTTTGGTGTCCGTGGACGCGTACGGTAGCTGGTTGGCGGAAAAGAACAACATAGCCATTTTCGGTCGTAAAGGCGTCGGAATTGCTGACCATGACTGGCGCAGGCGGCGCAAGCACGGTCCATCGCTCAGGGGGAAACACGACTGCTGTGGAGAACATTGTCGCTGTGTTTGGGGCAGGTCTAAGGACACCCCGTGGTAACGCGCTTGGGCAACCTGCCCCTCGGATGGTCTGTTCCTCGAACATGCCATGCGAAGCACATGCTGCGGCGTCGCCGACAGCAGCTGGAACTCTGGAGCTGCAACCACAAGAATTTGATGGTGTTCAGTATCTGCGGATCGAAAAGGTGTGGATTATGTTGCCAGTGCCTCTTTGCGAAATGGCCATTGTGTCGCTTGCAGCGACGTGTCTTATTCATCCTGTGCAAATGCTGATTGTGGTCAAGAATTATGTACCATTGTAAACTGTGTGGGATAAATCTCTGTTTTGACAAATGTGCCTTGCAACGAGGCCATCCACACCCAGAAGAGGTGCCGTGCCGCATGCCACGCGCCAGCGGGAGGGACCCATGGGCAGTCGTCTAGTACTGGCACCGCTGCGGGGTATTGACCAGCAGGCGCTGGCCCGATCAGAGTGCAAACTATGTAGCAAAAATTGGGGAAGCCAGATCCAACAAGTCTAGGGGCACAATATAAGAAGATTTCCTGCATATGGTGAGAGGACAATATGTGCATGTCACCGTCCTTTCTATGCCCGGAATACATGACCCATCAGAGTGTATCATGGCCACGTCCAGGGCACCCCATTTGTAGGGGCGCATTGGAGACGTGGTGGACAGATCAGAGTCTGGAATTCAAGGCATACCATGGTGTGACATGACCAGATGGTGTCGAGACGCTAGGGGGCCATGCTAAGTGGCTGGGCTGGGAACATTATTATTACCATCAACAAATATGCATTGCTTGTTGTCTTCTCTTACTTTTAGAATGGTTTGCTGAAGCTTGTTGATTGGCGATCCTGTGCCCAAGGAAATGTCCAACAGATACAGCTTCGGGACTGAATGAAGCTGCTAAATTGGCGACTTGGAGCTGTTCACTGTTGCTTGCATTAGCTACAATCAAGAACTGTTCATAGAGATGGCTTCATTGTGCGGTGTCAGGCACTTAGCACATTTGCATTTGCACACTGCTAAAGATAGAGCAAGAATGCTCAGTTCAACTGTGAGATTTCTTTAGATCCCTGGATGTTGAGCGACTAGTGCAGGGAGTGGGAGGGATGTGGAGGGACTAGTGCAGAGAGTGGGAAGTGGAGTTATTTGTTGCATGTGTGTTTTGAGCATTTGAAACATGTGACTGCAGGTGGAAAAATTGTGCGAGGAGTTCCTATTGCAGCAGCACATCTGGATGCTCTTCTTTCTTGAACAACAGATGAAACTCCTTGGGAGTGTAAATGGTGAGATGAAGAGAGCTCTATGTACATTTCCAAGTGAGTATTGTTCTTAGAGTGGCAGTAGAACCAACCCTGGCATATGTGCACCCATTTGATATTGATTGTGAACGCTGCATTTTGCAATTCCAATATCGATCCTGATTTAAAAGATCATGACGTGGTCCTGCAGTGAAACTCTATAGTATGCTGGCTGTGTCCACCTTCCCTGTGTTTGCGGTCTTAAGGACGACTTGTTGCAAGCTCAGGCAAAGGCCATTCTTGACATGAAAGCCATTTGGTTGCATTTTTCCATGTCACAATCATGTACCAACATAAAACAGCGTCCTCAGCCTGAAATGTCTCGAATAGCAAGGCCCGTAAATATCATCTTTGTAAGTTCCTGGGGCTCTGCACTTGTGCTTATCGCCCTGCAATGCTCTGCAATGCTGTAGTGGATGTGTGCTCAGTGATAGTGCAGCAGTGGCAGGCATTGGTCGCATCCAGATTGGCTATGTGAGATGCAAGAATGCGGTCTCTTGGAATGAACACAATAGCGTCCCACCATAATGCGGACACCCAAGTATTGGTGCCATCTGTACCTCACAATCGCTGCTACCATGTATCCTTCACAGTGACATGTCCGTTTCTATTTTGTATTGCAGGCCTCATTGATGCCCCCGTTTTTGATATGGCATGTCTACCCCCCATTCTGTCAACTTATGCATTCGGAATAGGGTAACATTATTGATGTTTAGTGCGCGTTGGGGCTGATTCATACTTCAGAATACTTCCCCAAGGCCTGGTCAAAGCAGGGACAAGAGATACCATGATCTTGTCCCCCGTCATGGCCAGGCACAGCGAACGTGCTGTTTTAAGGGTGGGTTGCAAATCTGCACTCTATGATCTGGGACCCAATCCACAGCACAATAGAGTTTCCCTTTCTGTTTCCAATTCTATTTGGGCTGTTGGTGCTGTTGTTTTGTCGAGATGGTATGCAGCGACAGCATCTGATCTCATCTGGAGCATGTACACATGCTGATATGTTTGGCAGTGCATTGACAGAAGAAGCAAGGGACGGAGCAGTGGCAAAACACCCCAGTGCTTTGAATCCTGCAGAAGAGAGGGCACAGGTGAGCCCAAGATGGTTGCATGGCAACAGTGAGCATCTGCTCATGCCATCTTAAATATGCAATGCCCAACATTTGGGTGTTCATTGAGTGACGGAATGAATTTCAGATGAACACAATGGATTGCTCCATGTGTATTCAACTGCATGTGTGGCATTAGTGGGTTTAGTGCTGGCTGTGTTCCAAGTCAAACAGTGTTCTACTGCACCAGCGTGCCAGCTCCATGGCACATTTGCTGCATGCATGCTGAGCATCCAAGACTGTTTGGTTGCGCATTTTTCTGGGGGCAATTGCACAGTAAAATTCGATACAGACTGTGGCGGATTGCTGTGAATGCATATCATTGCTCTGAGCTGACAAGGATGGGCATTGATGTGCAGTACAAGGGCCTGCTGTGTACATCTGCGAATGTGCATTTTGTTGCGAACAAACTCGATGCTGCAACATGGATTGCTCCCCAATTCAGCAGTCTGTTGCGTAGGCCCTTGAAGCGTCACAGCTGGAGATCAAAAGGCTCCAGGCAGATGTTTTCACTGCAAAGGCTGAGCTTGACAAGGCTAGGCAAGACTTGAATCGTGCCGTACTGATTGCAGCAGAGGAGATCGAAGAGCGTTTGGCAGCAGCATGGGAAAAGGAACATTGGAACGATGTCAAAGATCTCCAGGTGAGCACGGCACAAGACACATCTGGATAATGGCTTCTGCATTAGTCCTCTTTCTCCCTTGTTCCAAGGGCTAACTAGGCCGAGTTGTGTGCATCTGCACTTTCTCCCTTGTTCCAAGGGCTAACTAGGCCGAGTTGCGTGCATCTGCAAAGTGGTTGTCATGATCTGTGAACTCACTGCCAAGAGGTAAATTCCAGTCTTCTCTCAACTGATAAGGACCATCAGATAGTTGGTGGCTGTCGCTGTTGTGGACAGACAAGCACCAACAGTCCTGATCATCGATATCTAGGGGTGCGATTCTGTTGCAGGCAGAGAGGGACAAGGCTCTTGAGAGAGTTGATGACGTCGAGGCTGCGAGCCTGGAAGCAATCCGAGAGGCAGAAACACGTTACAAGGACATGGTTGAAACTGCTGTCAAGGCTGTGGAAGCAGAAAGCGAAGCTGCTATCAACTTGGCACAGGTAATCTTGCTTCAGATCTGTGCAGGGGGCTCAGTGTACATGAAGATTATTCTGTCTAGTGGCAGGGTGAGAGCTCTGCACCTGCTGCTAACAATTGGGTGCCTCTGTTTGCGCAACTTCACTTGGAATCCAATGCCCGTCAAGCATTAACTCCATGAGCCAGGTGCCAGGGTGAGTTGACGATTTCCTATCTACTGTGACGAACGCATCAGTGATGGTGTGACCGTGTGGGCCGCCAAACAGAATTGGCATGCTGATCTTGTTTCACATCAAAGTCGAAACATTTCAGATTGTTACGACGCTTAAGGCTCTGATTCTGCTGGACAGGTGTCTGCTCGCACAGCTAGGGAATCTGCTGACGCCTCCAGCAAGACTGCTAGAAACTTGCTTGAAGCGCAGAAAGAAGCTGTTTCGCTGGTGGGTGCACCTGATGGTAAAAGCAATCACCCTTGTCCGCTCACCATCAGCGCCACCAGAGTGTCACAAAAAGTTTTTTGCGTCACAGAAGGCATGTCAATGACATTGGATACAGGCAAATAAAATACGATGCCTGTTACATGAACGACGATCCTTGATACTATCCCAAAGGGAGCACCAGTGGTGACATTCTTGGTGTTTGTCATCTGGCGAGACACCAAGTGTTGACACGGCTGGTTTATCTGCAATCTGCTTTGCAGAATTTGAAAGTAACGTTTGCAAGGCAGGGATTTCAGTCGGCTGATGAGACCACAACAGATGCTGTCGCATATTGGCAGTGGTCTTGCACACGACGTTTGGATAATTGATGTTGCACCGATGCAGGTCGGTGATATCCAACAAAAGGCTGCGGAGGCGCAACTCATTGCCTCGAGGGCACAAGAAGTTTCTGTGGCTCTTCGTAAGGAGGTGAAGCAACTTCGAGAAGATCTTCGTTGTGCCCATGAAGACGCATCAAAGGCTGCAGAGAGGGCAGGTGCTGCAGAACAGGTGAAATGATGCAATTGCCCATTCTGCTCCATTTGTTTGCGTGTCAATGTATGCCAATGTCGCGGGGTTCGTCAGTGGGACTTGCTTCCGTGGTGTTGTTGCTATTCGCGATTCGCTGCGCCTAACTCCGCTTTTCCCCGTGTGCTTCCACAGGCTGCACTTCGCCGCGTGTCCGAAGTGGAGCAGGATGCTGCAGAACGTATTGCTGCCGTTGAACAAGCATACAAAACTCTGACGGAGGCTGAGAAGAAGAGTCTGTGTGCCTTGCAGAAGGAGGCCGAACACATGCAGAGGTCAGTAAGGACGGTGTGACAGCCAACCGTGGAATGGAAGAAAAGAATAGACCAACAATGATGAGAGGGCAACTAGATACAGTTACAATATTGTCTACTGACATTAATGTCGAGTGACCATGTCCCATGTGGACACATGCATTTTGGCAGTGCGTTCCGTTGGCATGTTGTGACTGTTGCGCTGCGCCTGGGCTGTTTTGAGGTGTTTGAGCCGTTGGTGAAACAGCGAAAACAAGGCGATGGCGACAGACATGAAGAGACTGCACTCGGAGCTGTCAGCAAGCGAAGCCATTGTGGCACAAGCTCAAGCACAGATGCAGGCTATGGAACTGAAGCTTCAGGATAAACTTGAAGCCGTTGGCTCTCTGAAAGGAGGCAATGTTACAAAGGCTGAGCAGGTGACCAGTAAAACCTTCACATTGCGTGTTGTCCTGCATTTTCTGCGTTGTCGATTCGTCATTTTGACGCATGGGGACATGCACCAATTCGTGTTTTTGTTTATTGATTGGCTGTGTACTGCACATCCACGGCTGGTAGACACCTGGGTACACGCTTTTTACGACAATGCAGAATGCCCATGCAACTGTTTATTACAGCATCTGCTGAGCTGTGTGCCTTTGCAGGATAAATTGGCTCAATCGGGCAAGAGAATTGCATCTGAGGAGGCCAAGTGGCAGGAGACTGTGGACGAGTTGGCAAGCGTCGAGAAGCTTGTTGCTCGATCTCAGGCCAGGTCGGAGGAGAGAATGAACGGCTTCAAATTCTGTGTCACTTCTGCCGCTCGTGAAAGGGACTACTGGCGGGCCAGAGCTATCCGCGCAGAGGGCAATGAAAAGGCATGTATTCAGTCGCGCGCACATGAATGGCCACTGTTTTCCCATCAATTGATTTAACTTCAGCCGGACCATACGTACACACTTGAGGGATGAAGTTTAATTTGCTGAATGACTTAACTATCCACAGACGCTAGTACCACCATGGCATCACTCAGTGCTGCTAATGCTAGTACAGGGTGGAGTCATCGCGTTCATTAGTGTTTGTCCTTGCTGGTACAAATAAACGACGACACGGCACCTAAACAACAGCCAAACACTCCTAATCAACAGTCAAAGTCACCAGATATGCCGGCAGCGCTCCTCATTTGTGATAGGTGTTTGGCTGGTAAAGCACTGGTCATTTGACCACATGCTGAACTCCTTTTATGCTGCACTTCGAACACACGAGATGAGCAACAGCATGGGATGCCCGTCTGTGGCTCGCAATCGCCTGAAAGGCGCAAGGCTCACGCTCCATCTCTCGAAGGCAAATTGAAGGCTAGCATTTGGGCCGCCTAAGTTGGAGCCATTGTGTTTTATGTCTTCTGCGGCGGCGCTGACGGCCGTATGACCTGCTTGTTATTTCTAGGCCATGCAGATGGCGATGGAAGGTATGGGCAACGAAGCGAAGAACCGTGGTTTGGAGGCGCGTCGCATGCTTGCGGCACTCAGCACGTCTGCCCGCAGGCGGCTGTACGCCATCGGCACATCCAGCAAGGGCCCCACCGGAGGGGAGACCTCAGAAGTCATAAACGGCGGATGGATGCCGCCAGCAGAGGAACGGGGCCCGCTTGATTGATTGGTGCGGATTGTGAACTCTTGATTTGTACTATATTTGGTATTTGTCCCACATCTGTACTTTGCTTTGCTTACATTGGAATCGTAGTGGGGTAGTGGGTATCGGTAGTGGGTGCACAGCAAGACTGGATCCCTATATTAGTGTGATGAATATTTACGTGAATGAATGGAACCGCAACAGCCCTAGTTCAAAAAGGGAGTGGGTGCTTGACCGTTGTGGTCGGGCTTGTGACTTCCAAGATTTGGGCGACGTCGTGCACATCCTTTCGAGCGTGCTGCATTGATGAGCAGGTGGCAAATGGAAATACGTTGGTGCCCATTCTGCTGGAACCGATTGCAATTGAGATAGGCAATCGAGTATTCTCGGCGCTGCTGCAGCCTCTGGCAGCACTTTGAGATCACCCTACGGTTGAGGGTCGCGAACCTCACGTGTGCATCGGATCTGCGATTACCTTGCCAGGGATGCCACGCTATTGCGGGCTTCTGGAGCTGCCTATTCTGGGCGGCGTTATTATTCTTTGGGACGAGTGGTAATGGAACCAACTGAAGGTGGCGTGCCCAACGGGTCTCGAACATTGCACATGTCATACTTGAGAGGCACGATTTCAGGGGTGGAGACTCTGAAAGTTAATGCCTGATTGATTGATCTGTCGATCGGCTGGTTGCCGTGTGTGGGCTCTGCGAAATACCCGATGGCATCCAACCCAATCCATATGATGAACTTGCAACGTCTCCCAACCTACGCGACAGACTGCGCAGTAGGCAAACATGGAGCACGGGCGTTTGCGACAACGGCACCGGCAGCTGAACTGCGCAATGATGCATTTCTGATTTAAGCAACGGTGCCTCATGCACGGTGGGGCGCTGTTGGAACCCCGTGTCGAACTTTCAATTTGTGTCGACACAAACTGTCGACAAGCCTGCCAAACAAATCGCCACTGGACGCCGGTCGCCGTTCAATGCTTGAGAGCATCGGAACCGCATGCAGCGTGGAACATGAGTTTCCCGTGTCCTGGCATGCAATAGGGGACCCGTTGCGTCAGTTTGCAGGCAAGTCTAGACCTATGTGCCATTCGCAACACTGGCGCTGCCAGTATCTTGGTGTATTGATGTGGTGGGATGCCGTTGTTGTGGGTCCGCAGCGCTGCAGCTGCAGTCACACGCGAAGCCAACACTGTATGTACACGTGCGACACACTGCACATCAAGAGCAATGATGACGCTTGTAATGCTGCATGGCGTCGCTAGATCCCACCACGGCTGTTTTGTCTGTGCACAACGACGTCCGGGGTTCCCAAGTTAGTAAGTGGTGGGGCAGCGCCGCTCCCGCGTATACACCTTCAAGCGAGTCTGGTGTTCTGAAATGTGCAAGTTCAGTGCCTTGGAGGTATCCACGGAAGTCAGCAAAGTTGACCAGCCCACACCATTGTCGAAAATTCAGCAGCTTCGCGCGCTGTCTTGAAAGTCAGTATCCCGTCGCAACTTCCAATGCGTTGGCAGCCATCATATGGACCAATTTGCCACTCCTCGGCGCACACAAATCGCGAGATCCTCTGTATGGTGACTAGTTCCCCGGCATGATGTGCGAAATTCCTTGACGGTTTGACGATATCGAATTTGCAATCTGCGCGCTCTGATCCACAGCAACTCAGTGGTTGGATTGTCAAAATACCTCGGGTTCTCGTGAAACAAGTCATGGAGCCTCCCCTCGATATGTCATAAATTTTCTGATGATGATGATGATGATGATGATGATGATGATGATGATGATGAAACTCCATGATGACCATCAAGCGCTGGCTAGCGTAACCCTGCCAGAAACTCGCGTACAAGGGGCGCCACTACCGCCCGGCCCCCACCGACCCACAGCGTCACCAAGACATCCTCTTGTCGACGCCACGCCGCTCGCTCCTGGAGACCGCGGACGCGCTGCGCTGGGGCCGAGGGTGCCGCTCTGAGGGGACTGGTCAACTGACCCAGTCTGACAGGTGCAACGCCTTCGGCTGAGCTGCGGGCTCACGAGGTGCGCTCCCCGCTCTCTGCTGTTGGACACAGGTACATCCCCTGCTTGCGAGCCCGGCATGTCCCTCTCTCGTGCCTGCAGATTCTCCTGACTGTGGACCACTGCGGCATTCGGGTCACGGACGCCGGCCTCCGTTTGGGCCAAAGATTCGCCTGTAACAGTACAACACTTCAAAATATATCCAGCAGTTTTGAATTTGTTCTAACTGGGATGCCGTAGAATGCGCGCCCACGTTTGGGACACACGCCCATCGCGGTACACACTGCGGAGAGCAGTTCCTGAGAGCCCGTTGCATACCTTGGAGCTGTGAAGAAGATGATAATGCAAGAATGGTATTGGCGTGGCACTGCGTGGGGATCGGTCTTTGTCGCACATTCATATCGCATATGGCACATATCTTGCACATGTGGCACATGTTGTTTTCCCCAACGCAGGCTGCGCACTTTCGAAGGATAAACTCTCAAACTAAATCACTGTTTCCTGGGAGCACCACACGGCTCGCTGCTTCCTAATGGATTCATTACCTGGCGGCAGAGCAACCAACCAATCAATATTACATGCCAGGGTAAGGGCATGGCCACACGCTTCCTCATCAAATGACAACTTGTTTGCACAACTCTTCAGGACGCCACAATCTCGTGGGTCAAGCTGAAAATTCTTTTCATGTGATATGCTGATTTAATTGCCTTGTTCACCCAGAGCTGGAAGGAGAAGGCTCACATGGACGACGCCGGCGAATTCGGCGCCGCCGGCGAAGTGGATGACGAGCAGGAGGCGCTGCCGCTCTTCGGTGGACGGGAGGACTCCTCGGCGGAGGCTTCCACTCCCGGCGAAGTCTGGCAGCCGGGCGAGAGCCTGCCTCAATCTCCGCGATCTCGGGTCTCGAGGTTCTCCAGGAGGCTGGGGACGGAGACCGCACCGGCGCCACCTGGAGGGGCGGGGCCGGCTGCCCGGGCCCGCCGGCACACGGTCAGACCGCTGAGAGCGATTGGCCAGGAGAACCACCGAGTTTCGGTTCGCAGGTCTTCCGCAACTGGAAATTTCTCCGCACAGACACCGCCCAATTTGAGGAGAGGATCGGAGGCGGGAAGCGGTGGTGAGCTGTGAATTTTGCGGCAATGCATGGGTCCGCTCTATTGAGTTTTGGACCGTGTACCAATCAGAGCAGTGCGAGAGTTGCAAAGCCTGGCACGGAATTGGCCGCGGACGTGGCGACCAAGCCTGTGGTGTCCAATGCTGGAACTCTTAATGGGCCTGCTCTCGGGGTTCGCTGCGCCCTTTGTTTTACATCCAAAGTTCCCTATTGGACAAATGGGTACAGCTAGTACATTGGATGCCGTGTCCACGCTAGTCATTGCCAGCAACGCAGCAGCACTGGTATCGATCACGCGCTGAAGGACAGGAATCCAGGGTTAAGAAGCTGATATTGTTGAAAGAAGGCTGAGGATTCCAGTTACCGGCAGTGTGAGATCCACATTCAGTGGCAAGGCTCCGCCCATGGAATGCATTCGCACACGCAAGTTTTCCCAATATGTGAACCGCAATGTTTACTACAACTTCGTGGCGGCAATCTGCTATTAATTCAAACCGCCAAGTCGCATGTTTGAAGACATATATCGTTTGGGCCATTTCTCACATGCAGTTCTAGCTCACTCCAGAACACAAGCTGCGCATTCAAAGCGGCAAACCATTTCTTCCCCAGGGATGTTTGTGGACTATAAAATAAAGAAAGGACACAGGTGGATGTGTGCACATGTGGCACAGCTCTGGAGCGGTGGGATTCCAGGAGCCAGTTGAGTCGGCAAAGCCACTCTCAGGGAATTCCAGGAGTCGGACACATCGAAGAAATCAAAGAGGATTCACCCTCACCTTGCGCTGGCGATCCGAAACCGGAGATTTTTCGCCCCATTACAGCCGTCGCTCCTGCAGAGGTTGGTCGTTCATATTTTCTGTTCGACCTCTTGGACGTTTTTCTGGCATTTCCTTGTCATCCCTGTACTGTGCACCTTCGCAATTTTCCTGCTTGCACAAGTTCGGCATTTGTGGAGCCAAAGCATAATTCAATGTTCAGGAAGAGACTGTGTTATTGCCATGGATGAGACCATTCAGATGTATATTGCCAAGCTCCAGCCCATGTTTCAGGTAACGTATTTACATACTATCTTCATTCGTGGTACAATTGCGAAAAATGCTGATCAACATCTGGTTAAACACATTCCGAAGTATATGATCTTATCCCATTGGCAAAACTTTACCTGCTTCGTATCCGAACTGAAAATCTATTGAAACACTACAAATTGCGTTATATCATCCGTATTTTTGACTACATTTTTTAATAGGTCCTGTTCCGTTTCTCAGGCCATGACAAATAACGTGATTCCTATGCGACGCAGCTCGCAATTAATTTTGGGACCTCCTACACCACTGCCGGGCGGAGATGACGCAAGATTTATCATTTGGAACTCCTGTTTTCTGTACAATGGGCACATAAGCACTGCAACCACCAGGGCGCTGCCCATGCCATGCAGCCATTACATTCGCCTCAACAGCGAATGTGTTCCGGGGGCGGATTTATGTCCATGTAATACATGCACACATTTTGAATCATTCATAACTTATGAATCATCTTGTGAACCATCCACAAGTTATGACGGTGATGACGACACTATTCCATACCAACAGCGTCAATTGTCATTAAAATACATTTCACGAAGCGCGTAAGACCGCAGTTAGAGTTTTTTATAGCATATCTGTTTCCTGACAATACAATGAAGCAAAATAAATTCAACATTGCCAATGTCCTTGTTCTTGTCTTGAGCAGCTCCTGGTTGACGAAAACCAAAATTTTATTGGACAGAAAGGTGTGTCGTTATCTGCGCTATCTGATGTCTTGTTGCCCATTTATTGGAACTGCTCATCTCAATGTTAGCACCGTTTGAAAATTTCTTTCTTTTCCAAACTAAACTTCGAAAATATTGTGGTTCCTTCAGGTTGTGTTCTTGGCCCCTGACACAGACCACAACATTTATTTTCAATTCGAAACGAACCCAGTCAGGTTTCCTGAGGCATCAAGTTCTCGACGGGCGATGATATCTTCTGGTCAGTCCCCACAAGAGGAGTACGGTCTATTCGCAGAGTCCCACCCCTTCGTCGGAAACCACTCGTTGTTCAAGATGGAGCAAAGGCTTAGATATGCGGCTGGCGATGTGGGTGAGCAGAGCATTGTGCACGATTGCTTTGAGACGAAAGTCGCAGGCAAGTTATCACCCGAGACCAAATCGCGCCGCCCCGGCATTGCTCCATTCATCTTTGGGATGGCCAGAATGGCTTGTGCTCCGCCGGCGGTTGCCCGTGCATTCATATCTGTAAATTGAACACCTACAACACATGTGGATACTCATGCAGTTCACGGCTGATATTGTGTGAACAGGAACAATGATGTCGAAATCTCGGGCATCAACTTCGCATCGGATGCGAAGCTCACGCGCCGATCTGCAGTTGCAAGTTCAAGTATTATTTATGCAGCATTGCTGATAGTCAGCCTCCATGCCGCCTTTTGTTGACCAGCGCGCCTTTCTAGGAGTTTTGCTGAAAGCGCATCGACATAGCTGTGGAACATTGACTGGACTTTATTTCACAAAGCAATACATATGGGAAGCATGTGTTACGTGGGGATTCCTAGTTGAGATACCCATGTTAGGAGCTTAGAATTTCCCCCCTCGATATTCAGCCGAAGTACGTCATATCCGTGATGGGCGAGGGCCAAATTTTCTCAGCCAGCTCCTCTCAAAGCTGGCTCAGGAGACCTGAATGTGTCACACCTCCCCTCTTCCGGCCGCGACAGAAGATGATGGGCGGATTTCTGCAAAGTGGTTTGATGCCTATGGACTGCTTGACTCGATGGGCGACCCTCTGAAGCCCGTGAAGGAGCGGGGCTTCAGACGGCTTGATCCGGATTCCCGGTATCTTCGATTGGGCGTCGTGCCAGGAGGCAGTGGAGACGAGGCTGAAGAAATTTTTGAGTTGTCCATTGAAGTCGGCCGACTGGACTTCACCTGCCACCATCTGATGTCGAGAGAAGACCTGCTGGCAAGCACCGCGAGAATTGGGCATACTTACTTTTTTGTGTGGATTTTGCGCGGTGTATGTGTTACACTCCATGCGCCCGCTCTGCTTGCAAAGCTGGCCAGTGGCACGTGGATAAGAAATTGTATGAAAGTTCAGAGACTTTGTGGAGCAGCGTGTTTGCGCTAAGCTTTATTTCATACAGATGTTGCTTGCGACAGCGTCAGAGCGCCTCAGTGAGGTGATTCTATATACAATATAAATAATGATGAGCGGAAATGCCTAGATGAACAGATGCAACAAAAAGGCCTCAATGAGCGAACTCGGGGAGAATAACACCCAGCGAGAGGTATTTTCAAGCCAAAACTCTTTGGCTGCCGCATTCCTATGATTCCCTTTGTCTTCGCAAAACTGGATTTGTAAAATATGTCGCGTGGCTCCATTTACACCTCCTCTTCATTCACATCGATCACGCCCACCCTTCCCGTCCATTCATTCAAATTTATCTGCATTTTCAGGCGTCCCATCTCATCGCTTCATTCAGGCAATACAAGCAAAGGGAGGCTTCAAATCTTTTGGAATTGTACAGTGACAAGCTGTCCGCTCTTGAAGTCAGCCTCCTTGACGCTCGGGAGGACATGTTTGCCCATGATGGTGGAGACGGAACAAAAGACGCCTATGAGAGAGCCCTGCAACTTGAACGGGAGGTGAAGAGCCGTTCGTCGTGATTCAGGTCAATGTGAACCCAAGAGCAGTATCATTTCTCAGTTGATGCAGAGAAGAGCACCGGCGCCTCACATAATAACCACTGTCGTATGTGCACGTCGGCCGTTTCCAAAGGGTCTCATTTACCAAGCTGTCTCTTGGGCATTAGCGGTGTAAATTGAACAAGCACAAGATTTTTAAATGGCATAGCTCAGATCACATTGTAGTCGAGTAATGAATAAATCTATGAGTTGGCGATGTCAAGTTTACTGGTGGGGTTTTGCTTGCGATGAGTCACTGTCGCTGCTCCTAAATGTTGTGGGAGCTTTCATATTGATCTCTAGAACTTTTGAGAAGTATTGACACTATGGGGCGACGCGGTGCAAGGGTAAGTATAAATCTTATGTACCAATCCTAGCTCTATTTTTACAACAATTTAGTAATCACAGAAAAACTTACTTCATCAACTTTCCCAGAAACGATATTTTCATGTTTCATGCGGAAAAAGTGCTGTGGTAAGGAACACGCTGCAGAAACAAATTATCTCACCCTGATTTGAGGCGATGAATTCAAAACAGTCTCAGCCCATTTTTTCAATGATTGCAGAATTCAGGAGCGTTCGTTTCAACTTAAAGTGGTTCACACCTGCAGGTGGCTGAAATGAGGCAGCTGAAAGAGGAAGAATCCAGACTGATGCTTAGTGGTGTGGAAGAAATGCGAAAAATCTTCGATTCCATCCGGGAAGAAAGGCGCGAAAACGGATTTGCAACGACTACCGTGGATTTCACGGTTGAGACGTCGAGGGGGAATGACATGGAAATATCGCAGGTGCGGATAGCTGTTTCATCAGAAGACCTGCTCTCGACGTACACGAGGATGTCTGTAATGATCAGTTTCTTTATCACTGGCGCAATCCCCCTCCCACGCACACACCCACACAAAGGTTAAGCCAACGCAACGCTGTGCATTGTGATGCAGCGCAGATGTAAGGCGCCGTAGAGTACGGAAAATCAATTGAGAAATGGGAAACATATTGGAGTAAGCGAAGTACCAATCTTCCGATTGATGTATTGGAAGACCGTGTTCGACACCCATGTGCACAAAACGCACCCAACGGAAACGCTGTGTGCACACCAAGAACTGTTCTCTTCACTTCGATTGTCTTCTCTCTCGCTTTGCGAACAGGGTTGGGTGTACTGATTCTCTCCTATTAATTCCATTGTGTATGCACATCTACCCATTCTCTGTGTTCAGAACCTCGTGGGTATTGCCTCTGGTTGCCTCAGGCTGAATCATATCTCAAGGACCTCGAGCTGCAGCTGCTTCTGGCGGAAGAAGACGTCATATACGGCCTACCGGCTCCACCGACACCTTTTGAGCTCTCCAAGCCTGCCTCTGGTGGTTTCCGCCTTCGGCGCGTCGAGGCGACCTGCCAACTCCACGCCCAGGAAAAATCGAATCTCCTCAAACGGCTTGACAGGCTGACATCGAGGCCGTCGGCTGATCCGGAGGACGAGAAAATTAGGGAGCTCGAGTCCCACCTGGAGGCGCTCGGCGACTATCCCCAGAGGGCTCCTAGAGACTTTGGCGTTCTGCAAGAGTCGAAGGCGCGCTACGCCGACACGGGACATGTAGGTGCTGCAGCATTTCAGGCAGTTTACAGTTCTGTTACCTCCGCCAGAATATTAGCTCATGAGAATTTGCATGCGGTGGTTTGATTGAAAACACTGGAAGAATAGGCCGCTCCAACGTTTTCAGTCAAGTGCTGGGTACAAAATCCTATGGGCCATGGATCGATTCAGGGCTTATTTTTCAGGAAAATGCGGTGGAAAAAGTGTCCGTCCGGCATTCTTTGTCCCCGCACCATTTTCCTCAATCAGTTGTTGTCCGCCCATCTGAATACGCTTTCGTGCATTTCAATTGGGAAGCACGATGCGATTCGCCAGGCTCTGAAGCCTATTCAGGTATTTTGCATGCTGGAGGGCAGTCCCAGAAATCAGCACAACCAGAGGGGGGTATTTGTCTAAAGTCCGCAACCCTGCATTCCAGGTCAGGAACTGCAGATCCTTACCCCTGATGCCGATCTTGACTTCAGGAGAATGGGCGGACATGGGAAAGAACGGGGCGTCCAAGGGTAGGCCTAAGCTTCCGCAGGCGCGATATTATGCCCAGCTCTTCGTCAATGGACATGTCGTCGGCGTATCCGAAACAAGAGAGCTGAAAGACAACTTTTCTGTGGACGTGGATCAGATTTTCAGGTGAGCCACTAAATTGCAAGTAGTCGGCGCTAGACAGGAGCAGAACGACGCAGTGGGTGCAAACAGCGGCTAATGGGCACGGACTTTGCTGGCGCCCTTGATCGGGGAACTGGGCAGAACATTGTTGAATCGTGACCAAGAACAGACAGGAAAGTAGGCTAGAAACAGCGATGCTAATAACTTTCCATGTGAGGCTCCGTTACGTTGCGCTATTCTTCGAACCTTGCACACCAGTCCTGGGTTTTCATCCTGGTCTGCTTCGGCGACTACAATTACCGCCCTCGCAGACGCGCTAAGCGAGCTGCAACAGCTGGTAAGACAGTATTCCCAAGATCTGGCGGGGCTCATGAGCCCCGGCGGTGATCACCGCATCTCCATCCCCATCCCCAGTATGCGAATATTAAGCGAGGCCCCGCAGCGACTCGCCACGTCCGACCTTCCCTGCATCCGCCTCGTAGATGCGGCGCCGCGGGGCCACAACTTCACGATGGATGCTCACACGTGGTTCAAAAGATGTCAAACGTGTTGTAAACACCCAGGCAAGAGGGCAAACAGCAGTTCCTGGTAATTATTGCACATACTTACTTTCGAATACAGGATGTGTGCTGTTCAAACATGCATATCGTAGGTCACACATTTCTCCATATGCCGTACGTGATCGTTCTCAGGCACTCCTGGAAAAGCAGCGCAACTCAAAACAAGAATACCTTTTGCGCTTCGGCAGGCTCAGGCTCGCGAAATGGCCACAGCAAGTGTCGTTGCGGCTTTTCGAAAAATGGTCCCTAAAGGACAGCCTTCTGGCAGAGCTGTTCTTAACCGTTCCAGGATATGCTGGGAGCCCGCCAAGAGACACCAAGCCTGTGGCATACCAATGGACCTCGAAATACCCATTCAAGCCCTCTTGGAACAACATGCGGCATCAGAATGGACCCCAGTTGAGAAATCTCTCTGGAACTGTTTACACCGAGGGTGTGCTTTTTGTCCAGTCTGGATGGGGCACAGCAGATGCCGGTGTCGATAGTGCAGGATGGTCCTCTGTGAATGAGATGCGCCAAATCGACAACCCGCTCTCTCCGAAAATGGATATTGACATCGAGAAGGGCTGGGCGCTGGTGCCACCCATTCCCAGGATTTCAGCCGAAGGCATCCTGCGCAGGAGCCTGGGACAAGTATGGCAGCGCCGGCTCAGATTGCATGCAAAGAATGCATCGAATTTGATGATGCACTGACAGTGCTCCGAAATTTTAGAGTTCTTCTGTTGCGTCACGACTAGCGTAAACCAAATTCAATGGGCAGCCTCTGTGTTGCTACCTGTGATTTGTTGCGCAATTTGGCGCGATCCATCTGCCTTTTCCCACGTGGCGTCTTCCGAATTTTAGTGCCCTTCTTGAAGAAAAAGGGGTGCTCTTGTCCCATTGCGCAGGGGACAGTTATTCGCCACAACCCATTCAGATTAAGTCATTTGCTGCAAAATGTGGCCCTGGACCCAAGAGACCCTCGCAATGCAAAACTTCTGGAGCTCATTCGAGCCCGTGAAGCCAGCCAATTCCCTTTGACAGTGAAGAACGTCTACCGGATTGGCGTCCCTGTGGAGGCGAGCTTTCAAGGAAACACCAGGGTTCACAGAAAGAGATCCAAATTTCTCAAAGATCGATGGGAGGTGATGAGGGCGGTCAAGAGTGGCTGGTGCACGAAGCCCAATCTTGATGCCACGATGGCGCCGCTCTCCGCAACGAGCATTCTGCACGACGAGGGGTATAATCGGGGATTGGAAGCACTGCAAACGCTGTTGAAACAGCGAGAAAGCGATGCAGCCGAAGCACATCATTCCGGCATCAGCGAGAACAGGAATGTCGGACTGATGCAAGGTATGTGTCAATGGTGGGAATATGAAGGCAATGCACTATATCCTATCTGCTGCTCTGATTCCTGTCGATTTGGTTTTCGATTGGGAGTTTACTTAGACTTTTACGGTATGGTGGAATGATGAGTTCAAAGCTCTCAAATGACAACTGATCATTATTACATTATGTCCTGGAATGCTGCGTTCAAAGCTCAAACGACAACCGACTAGAGTTGGCTCGTCTGTCAATGTGAATTGACTGGGAGCAAATGTCTTTGTGATTCCATCGCTACCATTGTCGCCAAAAATACCCCAGTGTTTAGAAATGCATTTATCTGGTTCAGTCAGAACGAAACATCTTTTGGCGTGTGCCTAATGTCAGAATGGCGAGTGCTCAGACTGAATTACTCAATGTGTTAAAAGCTATTCTCAACGAGGGGATAAGCGTGTTCCTGTGCATGTGTGTTTCACGGCATACTTCAACGACCGGCTGTGTTCTTTAGGATCTACGGCTGACGCCATCGAGAGGCGTGAGATCCGTTCAAGAGATTTCATTCGGAGAGTTCGAGGAGCGGTATCCAAGAGCAACAGCGGCAAGGCAAGGCAATATCGCACTGACGATTTCGTGCGCGAAGCCCCTCTCCCGGAATTCAAGTCAGACGGCCCGTCGCTTCTCTCATTTTTACAACCCAGGAGGAAACTCCGGCCAAGGAAGAAGCAGGTATTGCCCTACGCGGGTTTCCCAGCATTTGCCTAGCAAATTTACAGCATACATCGTCAACTGCGAACAGAGAAAAACTACCATGTTAAAGGAATCGTCATTCTATATCAAGTACTGATATTTCCACGCCGAACCTGAATGGGGATGGCTCGCCCATGTGTTTTCTTTTTGTTTTGAATCTAGGCTCCCATTCTTAGCCTCTTGTGAACGTATTCCCAAATTTACGCCAAATTGCATTTGCGTCTACTTTGTGTCAATGTCATTGGTTCAAGCGGTGTTGGTGCTAATGTTCATTTTGACGTTGGGTGGCGGTCCAATGAACACGCATTTCGCCATTACGTGGCCACAGGTGAAGGTGCTTCACTCCTTCCCAGAAAAGTGTGAGCTGCTTGTCATGATCCAGAGGGCCGCGCATCTGCCCTCGCGCGTCCTGTCCCGCCACTCCCACCAGAGGCAAGGCGCAAATTTCGCCATCAAGGGCCTGAGACTGACGCCATCAAGTGTCCCCCATGATGCACAACTCGACGCCAGCGGGCGGAAAGATGACGTGGACAGCGAGGCGGATGTGGAATTTTTGCGCCCGTTCGTGGAGGTGAATTTCCAGGGCCAGCGGGGCCGCACCATGACCATGGACGGCTGCGAGCCGCTCTTCAACGAGCAGGTGGGCATGGACAATGATAATTTTGAGTTCCATCAGTTAACTGATCAATGGCACGCAATAATTGCGTGTCAGCCTCCGAGGGCTGTGTCGCCACCGAACAACAAGACAACAGTGTGTCCATTGTTGGTCCCAGTGCTCGCCTCACTCATGTGCCGCCTATCCGCCTCTACCTTAGTATGTTCAACCCTTCCACATCAAAACATTTTACCGTTACGCTATTTTGCCTGCTTTTTTTGTCAGAACGTTATTTTTTTGTGCCGCTCCGCTACAACTATATTATTTATTTCCGCAAGAAGTGCCAAGCATTACTTTGCTGTGCGGAAGGTTTGAATACTTCACGATACGTAGGTGTGCATGGACTTCGCTCCCAAGGGCGGGGACTTCTCGCCCGCCGCCCTCCAGTCCATGGGCGACCTCATCACCATCAACGTCTTCGACGAGACTGAGAGAAAAGGGCCGAAGGCGCTAGACGAGTCGCAGGGTGGGTCCCCTGGGGCCCGCAAGCGGCACGAGAAAGCGTTCCTGGGCAGCCTGAGGCTGCCGGTGTCCACGGTGTACCAGCTCAGGAGGGTGGAGGGGACCTTCGAGCTGGACAGCCCAGCCGTGGTTCTGGGCCACGCCTTCGGCGGCGGCGCCCCGGTGATCAGCGTGTTCATAACGCTGAAGCCGGAGCTGCAGAGGCCCGGCAGCGCGGCTGAGACGAACGGAGTTGGAGAGCAGGAGGACATTGTTCGCAATGCCAACAGGTGTCTCCGCGAATTTGCACGGCGAAAATTGCCCTTGGTTGCCGAATGGGATTGTATTTTGGGGACGACGCCATTTGCAGATGTGCACTTAGTTCCACGATCGCGGCGGTTCCCCACCTTCCCACAACGGTGCTCGATTTCCAAACGAGATGGAGCCTGTGCGGGTGTTGTTGACACCATGTTGAGCGTTGTAGACACATTTGCCGCGCATTCCAGCTTGCGATGCAGACATCATCATCATCATGATTTTTTACAGAACCCAGCTTGCGATGCAGACACTGTTCCAGCTGCTCCTGCATTCAAATACTTCCAATATAGCATCAGAGCAAAGGGCAACAGCGCAACGGAAAGCGCTGCTGCACAGACTGCGAAACTCACAACTCGGACTTCCTTTGGCGATGCACAGTGGCAGCGACTGCCTTGCCACGCGCCAGGGTCCCTTGACTTGCATTGTTTGCCCCACAGGTGGCAGGCCGGGGTCTCCGGGTGGCCCGGTTGCTCGCAGCGACGCATTTCGTGCATGGCCCTGGACACCGATGGTACGCACTCCTTGCTAACGCGCTTCCTTGCCCCAACGAGGCTCCCTCCTGAATTGGAGAGGCTGATGGCGTCGAACCTGAGCCACGGCTACCTCATGCGGAAAGCCGCCCGCTTTGTCAGCCTAGTGCCCTTCATGGACGACTCCATTTTCAGCAAGAGGCAGCACGACGTCTGGACCACCAGCACGGAGTTCCTGTACATTACGGCGGGCGACCACGAGGAGCACGCCGTGCTGCTGGCTGGCTACTTTGCCGAGATTGGGCAGAAGGTGAGGCGCGTAGCCCATGGCGAGGCACAGTCTAGGAGTTGCGCACCGTTGGAATTTGAAGCTCTTTGTAAAACGTTATTAAGCATAGAAACATGGAATTATTATTGCGGTGTTGCGTGTGTCTCAAAGATTTGTTTATTGAATTTCGAGCTTCATTGGAAGTGAATAGTGAGATTCACATTCCAGCAACAGGAGATGAGAATGATGAATTTCCAATTCGATCATTCGCCAATACACATGGATCATATTTTATTGGATTTTTATGCCCTTACACGTACTTGCTAACTATTTATAGTACTCTATTTCTCTGATGACATACCATAGGTACATTGTAGATATCTCTAATGTTCCATTACCACAAAAACATCACCAATTCCTGCAATTCAAATTTAAGCACGCTGAGCGCGCTTTCGAGCAAGTGCTTCCAGCAATGTGTACTTTGCAGTACCTTGATGTGTCTCCTGATTGGACGTTATTTGTAAAAATGGATTGGGCGCTTGCCGCATATCGCATTCGATGTGGAAATCTCGAGACCATCTCCAGCACGTTGGCCTTGGTTCTAATTTCCCTGCAGCGCGTGCGATAATCAGGCGTGGGTTGTTCTCGGGGCAACGACCTTGGGGGCTCGTTCAGCTTTCGTGCTGACGAATGGTCATCCGAGAAGACCCAATGCTACCGGACCTTTCCCCGAACGTGGCAGCGAGCCCAACGTTCAAGTTGCAGCAAAATGGAGGCTGTGGAATCCCATCAACGGGCGATGCTTTTCCTTGAAGGACGTGAAATGCGAGCTAAGAGAGGTCAGAATTCACATGTTAAATGAACATGTGTAGGCAGTGAATGATGCCGAGGGGGAGTACAATATATTGACATTATGAAGCACGTCCTATGACAGGCATTTCCGTACTCAGGGCGACCTGGGAGCCATCGATTTGCTCATTCTATGCCTGTCGCCAGATGAATGGACGCAATCACTAGCAAAACAAGGACCGAATAGCACTTTTTGCGAACACATATATATGCGTTTCACCAGTGTTCTGCATGCTGAAAGCGCGGAAATAACCCAAACCCGCGAAATTTGTACACGTTTGAGCACGTGTTATTTGGCCGTTTTTTGCTAGTGAATTTTCCCCCGTTTCATGTATCGAATTTGCACATCTTTCTTGCAATTTTAAACATGCGCAACAACGCTGTTTTGGGTCGGGCGGATCTGCGGAGGGAAATCGGGATACGAAACTTGAATCGCAAGGCTACAAGCGCAATTATGTGCAGGTTGTCGTAGATTGGCGGTGAATTCACTCGCGAATTTCCATTTCTGCCACGGTCTTCCACCAAGGCGCAACAGATCCAAGTCTGTGCTGGCAATTTTCGCTCTAGGTTGGTGTTGTTTTCGACGACACGAACATCTGGGCCAATATCCAGAGGACGGCGGAACCCTGGACGATGTCTTGGGATCTGTGCGACCCCAAGATGTGGAGACCCTTTTTCGGTGCTCATTTTCCACATCGCCACCTGGCCACCCTTCAAGGGCCGCCATTGTACGAAGAGCTGAATGAGATCTTCTATGAGGAACTCGAAGCTCGAGTTGAGGACACTATTCGAGATACTTTGTACGGTGAGCAAGACTTCCAAGATCTCTCTCCGATAATCTGTCTTGTGCTTGGCGGAAATTATCAATTTCTGCCAACAATAGTACCCTTGATAATTAAGCATTATAGGGCCGATGATGCAGGGAAACATTGAACTCACCTTAGGGTTTAGACTGTTGACGTCATGGCGTACTGTTTTTCTATTTTCCCAAAGTTTATCTTCATTTGGCAAATACTTCTGCTGCTAATAACCATGGTGTGTAGTTCAGGACAGCTGAAGTTACCATACGATCATTGCAACCGTAGCAATGACGGCACAGCAACGTAGCTCTTTCATGCTGGTAAAATCTGAACTTCGAGCAAATTACCACCTGAAATGGTCAGGAGCCTCTTCAAAATCTGGGGCCTCGTTCTCTCACAGCGTCCTCTTTTGCGTCATGCATCCCCCGAAATCCTGGTGATTGTCGCTTGTTTATTCAGATGCGAGGAAGAGGCTTTTGTCCCAACCCCACAAACGCCTCAGCAGAGTGTTGAAGCGACTGCTTCGAGACATGCCCGAAGATATGGCCCAGATCATGCAGGCCGAAGCTGAGGTGGGCAAGGTTGCTAACTATCTTTGACAAAAACGTGGAGGCAATAGCAAACTACAAGAAAAATAAAAAGTTGCCGCAAAATCGACCAACGACCTTTCGCAAACATCTGATAAGATTCCTAAAGTCTGAGTGCTTCATGACATCCGTTTTGCCATTGCTCCTGCAACGGCATTTGCCATCTGCTGTGCAAAAAATTCCTTATCACCAGCTTACGATGTGGAACTCGTCTCTTTGCATTGCAACGCACCTGTGCTCCAATCTCCTGGTTTCTATTCTTCCATATCTGTCGGAATTGAGATCGCGCTAATGATATAAATGAACTACATTAACGCCTCTAATTTTCTTCGACTTTAAGACATTTCGATATACTTAGGGTTGGAAAAGTCTTGAGAATTCGTACTTCAGTAAACTATGGGGATCAAATAGAGATTGCGTGTGAATCGCAGCGAGTTCTTATGTTTGTCAGATGGATGTTGCACAAACATATGTTGCGCTCTCGAGTGTCCATAAGAAAGCCATTTCTGGACACCATGATGGCAAACGCGGTGTAGACACTTGCAAATTTTAACACCGGACATCCTCGATGGCATATCCAGGAGTTCTCTGGAGTGCAAGAAGATGTTCAGGGCACCCAGAAAAGTCAGCTGGCATCCAGGCTTGAGGAAAAGCATGCACAGGCCTTGGAGCGAGAGACCAGGGCTGCCAAAACCACAGGGCACATACTCACCCTGCCATTCAGCGACGCTCTTGATGAAAGTGTAAGAAGCGCTGTTCTCAACACCGGCATTCACGAGGTTGCCGATGATGATGTCAAATTCGCCATGGCGGCGCATGTCGAGTGCACAGGGGTGGGATTCGTGTGTTGCATTTGGATGTATGTGGCAACTGTCAGGGGAAGATGAGAAAGTACTACATGGAATCGTTCAAGGGTGTGGTGAGGTGGATGGGCCAGGAGGGGGGTGTTTCGTTGTGATGCAGCTGGCATCTTGATGCGAGGAGTCTGTGAATATGTAATATGAATGGAGGGGGTAATTGTAATGTAATTTCAACGCACTGTGCACGGGGCCTGATATGGTAAATTTATATGGTGCTGTCGTCGGATACTTATCAAGTATATTTTCACTGAATTTAAACTATTTCTTCTTGCTGCACCCTGTGGTCTTGTGCCTGTGATCATTACATCTCATTCACGCTGTCAAAAACTCGCTTCATTACTGAATGTGCATTGTGACGCTCGATAATCGAGCAATCATTGTGAGGTACGCGGCGTGCATATCTTCAAACTTTTTATTCAAAACAAGCATCTTGAAGATGAATGTTGTAACAGAGGTAGAAGGTCTACCTCTGTTACAGAAATGTTGTCGCTTATCCAGTTTCAAATTGTGCGAACGCAGATCAAAACGTGTAAGGAAATTGGCCGAATAACTTTGATGCTCCTCATTGGAGTTACAATATGCCGAAGAGTATTCACTCATTTCGCAGAAAAAAGTTCCGCGTGGAAGTATCCTTGCGCACTCATCAGTGCGCGAATTTTCTTCCCTGCGAAAATTTTCGCTGTGCGAGTTTCGCGGACCAGCTCCAAACCGGTATTCGCCATCGTCTGTTGCATGGCCTTGGCCGATGGGTCAGGAACTGAGGGCGAAAGCCCTGTATACCCAGGCTTGCCGAAACTGCCAACCACAACCGCCGTCCCCGTGGCCGCGGCAACGACCAATGCGCCACATTGTGGTGACCGCGCCGCCGGGGCGTGGCGCCGCCGCGTGCCTTGCAGCTCTGGTGTTTGGCTGGGCGAGGCGACAACCCTTGGAATGCAGCGGTGGACAGTCCAGGTGTTGAAACCACCGTTGAACAAGAAAGGATTGAAGCGGAGAGCAGCGCCACGCGGCGCTGCAAAGTTACTGGCGTGAAGCAGTTCTCTGAGCGGTGCTCCCGCCAGAGACCTCTCAAAAAAGGAAAAGAGAAATGCCCTGACTGGAGATCGCCGATTCGAGTGGCAGAGAGCGCCGCGCTCGGCTTCTGCCGCTACTAGGCGGCAGTGCTTTGGTGCTTTGTCGCGCCCTTGCAAGCCGCACCGCGCCGGTCTCCAAATGCGCCCAACAACCACCAAAGCCGTTGGGCTCCGTCAGGATTCATCAGGCAGCCGATGGCTGGAAATGATTAATCCAATCACCAAATTCGACAGAACCTCATCACCATCGCTGCAGGGTTAGGTCCGGGCGACCTGAGCCGCACATATAAACCCGGACACCAAACTGGCGCTTGGCCCTGCGCAGACACCTCCGCCGTACCCAGCGCCCCGCGCGTCGCCGACCCCAGCGCCCGCCCGTCGCAGACACCGTTGAACCCAGCGTTGGGCCACCACGTCGGTGCGGAAACCCACGACGACAACAAGCACGTGAGGCCCAGGCTCTTTGTTCGTTTCCTCTAGCGTTGGGGATCGCTTGCGATCACGCGCCTCGTGGGTGCCTGTGCCGGTGAGGATCGCCGCTCCGATTGGAACTTTGCTGCTGGATGGCCTGCGTGGAATACAAGCCTCCGCTCCCACGTAGTTGGATCTTTTCACTGTACACTTTGGCTGCCACAGAAGGCCATGCTCTTGTTGTGCGCGGTTGATCTTGCCTGTCGTCACTTGCAAGGTGCAAGGACTCCGCTTTGCTGCGACTTGTAAGGGGCCTTGCTTTGGCCTTGCCGAACCAACTTCAAACTAGCGAATTCGATTGGGCTGCCATTACAAGGCGCCAATCACTGATGTAGAATCACCGACGACCAGTGTCGATCACTGTCAAGCATCCAACGCGGCCTGCCATTGCTGCAAGGTGTAAAGACCCTGCTTCGCTGCAAGGACAAGGGCCTTGCTTCGCCTTTCAAACCAAATTTGCACAAAGGAATTCGAACGGCTTCAATGTCAAGGCGCCGGCGCGATCTTATGACTCTCTCCCTTCTCGCGATCAAGATCTCGAGAGTGCCTTGCCAGGTTGCAGGAAGCGTCCATGAGATAGTCGCAACACAGTCGGGCTTACGCTGGACAGTGCTGCCAAGCGCGCGCACCCCACAGGCGCCCTGAGGGTTGCTGCCAGCAACTCAAGGCACCTGTTGGTTTTCCGCTCAGGGGTCACTGACCTGGCGCTCCGTTCCGGTATCCTCCCGGACGTGGGGTACTAGGACCTAACCACGCGGCAAAATCCGAAGAATTTGGTGACTGAAAATGCTATCATGCGATAGTGCTATGCCGACCGCCACTGCTGCGAACGATCTGCTGGCCAGCTCAGGGCTTCTTAGTGGCATTCGCTGCTCGGCAAAGAGAGCCACATTTTGCGGTCGTCGCTGTCCAAAGCCAACAGGCCAAAACGCGCCCAGCACCCAACGCGTTTTGGAGAGGGGTCCAAAAGTTCGCGCGGAAAAGTTTTTGTGCAGTGGCTCGAGCGCGAATGCACAGACTTTCTTCCGTCAAGAACTTTTCCGGTGTACAGTATTCATAGAGCCTCCTACCACAGCAAACAACACCGACGTTCTCGCAATATGTCAAGAGGAGCTGAAACGAGATTCGCTGTTTCTGGGACTTGGGGCAGGGCATGGCAGGCTTGTCCGGCCCTTAGATAGAGGTTGATCGAGCTGTCCCCAGGAGGCAGGTATGACTTGGTTGTTTGGCATGCACTGAAAATGCGGCTGGACTCCAAACAGAATCTGCAGGGCAAATCTGCATTGCCGCTAACCACCGCCTGTCAACCAATCAACCAACGAATCCACCAGTACACGAAAATAACAGGGAGGTCAGAGAAGCCAATAGGCCCTGTGAATTTCCAACGTGAAGTGCGTAATGAAGGACTCTGACAAATCTCAGCGCCCAACCCGCGATCCCAGAGCCCTTGCTTGCGCACCCCACCATTCCACTGGAACGGAGGGATGCCTGGCAGGCATCCCTGGCACATACGAGATGTTTTGGAGATTCAGTGGGGGCCCTGGAATCTGTGCGCGTTGCAACATTGCTGACGTAAAAGTTGTAAACTGATGTCAGCTATGTGCCAGAAAATCCTTGAGCAATACCGGCCATCGCTATTTCTTGAAACGTGCCCCTTCGAAGCTCTGGAACCGCTGATCTGGAAGTCTTTCTGATCGCCAAAGGCGCAATGCGCTGGTCAAGTTCTCAAAGTGCTGCAATCGCCAGCTGCCACGAGTAGCCTTTGGCGGGATCACAAAAGTTTGGCGCACAGCCTATACATTTGCAATGGCCCCTTGGCTGAGGAAACCCCACCACCATCCTTGAACTTACAAACTCCCCACGTTAATGAGCATTTCCTGGCTACGCTACAATTGAATTGGTAATGCAGCGGTCGCCGCGCGCAACGCATGCGCCCCATGCGTTGCATGGGGCTCCGGTCTTCTGAAATAAAGCGAAAATTTTCTTAGCTGTGCATCATTTTCCCGGACGCTTTTAAAGCAAAAAAAAAGCATGAACTGGACGGCATTCGACACCAAAATTTGATAAGAGATGAATGCATATCGTTCAGCACGTTGAATGACTTGTTCTTCCAGCGGTGGCGCCGGGGGGGTGGGTTTCGGTGAGCTGGTGGGTGTGGATGGGTGGGTGAGGTGGGAGCTGGGGGGCCGTAAGAATTTTTACATATATTTACATATATATACATATATTTCAGGAGAGAATGCAGGTCATATACAAGGCACCCCCTTCTACTCTTTCAATGCCGTAAAAATAGGATGTTGAGCATCCCGGTGAGAAATGGTGGGCGCAAAACAGAAGCAACACAAGAAGTAAGAAAATCTGCCCTCGGAAGGGCCCGTGTGATAGGTGGGAACTTCTGGAATGCCAGTGTGGTGGCGGGAGGAGGCCTCGCACAGCAGATTTAATGCAACGCCATCATGCACCATTGTACGTGCAGCTAGTGGCTCCGCCAAAACAAACGCGAAATTGTGCACATGCACCTCTAATGAGGTAATAAGGTACTCATCCGGAATTATTGGCGTTTGTGTAGTTCCCCCCCCCTTGACATTTACCACCATATCACGATCATGAAAATTTTACATGATAGTCCTTGAAGGTGGCCTTGAGATTCATATTTTGCCAGAGAAAAGCTGTGTCAAAGCGGCGTTTCCCCTGCCAGTCGCTTGAGTTTGGATTTACCCTCCGACACTAACTACTGGGGGGGCACTACCTAACTTGAGTTGCTGAATATTGGGAAAATGCTGGACACGGTAATGGAGTTTCGTGTTAGATTGGGACAGTGAGGGGACCATAGCTTGTGATGCTGCCATTTTGCTCCCAGTGCACGCCGGGTTGGAGACAGTGCCGATTCAAGCAGAAATGGAGAAAAATGAAAGGGATACTGTTGGCGCAGCCATGCTGGATAGTTGTGGGAGTTTTCGACGACCTCTCTGACGGCTAGCGTGTCAGGCGTGTATCGCTGTTGTGAGATGGCTCAATGTGCATCGACACTGCGGAAGCACGTGGTGAGCCGGTGTTCTGTGTCCACAGACAGCACCACACCGTCGCTCACGAGGCTGCCAGCCCCAGGGCTCACACGTCCATAATTTGGCAGCGCAGAGTTGGCAGGCGCCGACCGCAGGCCGCGTCTGCGATGGCCTTGCACACGCGCCACTGCCTCTTCGCGGCGGTTCTGCTCTTCGCCCTTTCCGCCTGCGGGGGACTGCAGCACTACCGCTCGAGGCTGCCCAATGGGGACTTTGTGCCGTGCCCGCCCGATCACGACTGCGCGGGGGAGACGTGCGTCGGCGTGGGCCACATGTCGTGTGACGGGGGCGTCGTGACGCCGGAGCGCAACCCTTTTGGACAGGTGCGGACGACTTTGGGCGCGAGTCGCCCTGGTTTTAGGTGACGGGGCTCGGATGGGTGCCCGCTCGGGAACGCGATTCCGCCACCTTGGTTACGGGGTCTCCGTGTGTCCATTGCGTGAAGCGTCGCGTCGGAGAGAACGGGCGAATTTGCGGCTGCGGGAGGCGCCTCGCTCCTCGACAGGCTCCGGCGAGATAAATTGCGCAACGGCTTCTTCGCGGCTGCGCACGGTGTGGCGATATGCTCGGTGTCGTCCCTGTTCTGTGTGCCACGCGACGCGCATGGAGTCTCGCCCGCCAAATTCAGCAGGCTGTGTTTCGTCCATGCGTGATGGCCGCGAAGGCCTGAGGTGCGCGAAAGGCCCTAGTGCTGCGGGGGAGTAAGTTCGCTGGGAACTCTGAAGCACTTGTCGCGTTGCGGTGCCTGTAGCGGAAACGCAGGTGCCTGCGCGCACGCTTGAGCGCCGTTTTCTTCGCCAAGCTCACCGCCGCTCCAGACCGTCCGAAAATCGGCTTCTCCCACTCTTGCTGCAGATCTGACCTCTGCGCTTGAAGGTTGGAGGCAATTTGTCATGATCAACGCCGATTGGCTCCAAGAACAGCTTCAATCTATGGCTTGATGCCTCATAGCGACACAATTATTGCTCCGAGCTTGAAGGGGACAAATCAGAACTCTGATGATGCCCTTGCGCACCATTTTGAATTCGGGAGTTCGGGACCTTCGAGGGGTCCCCAGGCAATCGAGTGTGGTGGTCCGAGTCAGCGGATGGCGCCCGATGACATCATCGCTCGACCGCGTTTTTCAGCCATTTCATGTGCTCCGGAGATATCGACAACCTACTAGACAATACAAGATTTGTTCCCTTTGCAATTCGAATACACCATATCCGTATTGAATTCCTGAGGAAGGCTTGAAAATACATATTTGAATGAGTTTTGAACGAAATTTTTGAATAAAGTCACAATGAAAACATTTTGGCAAGCTGGTAGCAGGTCACTGGCCGGAGCATCCCCTCCTAACCCGCGCATGCTGGGCCCTCATTCACTTTGCAATGCTGTGGATGCCACGTCGAACGAAGGCAGATGAAAAGCACGATGCGCTCTAAAAGGAACACGTATGTGCTCCAAGGGTGTCCGTGTGCGTGTGTATGTGTGGGTGCAGGTTGAGTATGTCGGTGGGGATGGCGCGGAGTGCGGTATTTTCCTTGGCCTGCGCAGATGTTGGGAAAACCTCGTATTGTTTAGCTTCAAGATTGAGCCAGTGTTGCATCTTAGCGACCACTCAGGAGTGCACAGTTACCAGCCCTTCGATACATCAAAACACAGATGTGGGGGCTTTGTGGTTCTGTTGTGCGATTATGCCCGTCATCTCTTTAGGAACGGCCTCTGGAAATCGAATCTAAATTGGATATCCCACTGTCCGTAACATCTATTTTGGCTTTGATTGTCTGCTGAAAATGAGCATTTGTAGCGCGTTCTGTATCTGAATGTTCACCGTGCTTCTTTTCAGGATTTTGAGCTCGAAGGACGCTTTTGGACAAGGGATTTGTGCGAGAAGGACTCAGATGGCGACGGATTCACCAATGGGGAGGAGCTGGGAGATCCTTGTTGTGTGTGGCACCAGGCAAGGCACACAAAAACAACTTTACTTGTACTTCATGGCATGAAGAGCACAGAATCATCAGCACAAAACTAGCCAATACAGCATGTTGCATTGCCTGACGTCATAACTACCACTTCTGTGTTGGCCATGCTCTCGAGAAACCGAAGATCACCCATTCCGGTTTTGCATCAATGCCAATGCCTTTCACGAGTGTGTGCATCTCACTTCACTGATGTCCAGACCCCTGATGTGGCAACTTTTCCAGTACGTGTTGTGCACTAAGGGGAATTGGTTCGTTTTTCCTAGGGTGTCAGCCTTCCTCTGTGGATGACTGCTGCAGAATGGGACATATCGCATCCAGGCTTTGTGTCATCCAGGCCAGACCAACCTGTGGACAGAGAGGCTCTGTGCAAAGACACCCCGGTGCTGGCCGCCGACACGTTCTTCAATGATGCCGAGCGGGAAGTGACAACGGATTTTCTGATAAATGAACACGTCATCCGTTCCCAAGAGACTGTGTACGACTACGTACGGTTCAATTTCCCGGTAAGCGTGGTATGTTACTCTACGCATTATTGTACCAGGAAGCACACCAGAACAATGAGCGGTCGTTGTGGAGCCTTGATGCAAGCATTGGTGTCATGCAATAACTATTGCGCTATTGAATTATGGACAGGAATATATGAAAACGGCCCGAAAAGGGGGCCACTCCCTCAAGAGTTAGAGACATGTTAATATGGCATTTCGCAGGCAGTGGGGTACACTTTCCGAGCGCTGGGGGGCGCTACCAGGGTGGTAGGGGGCAGTCCCCCTAGTACATACCGCCACTTTGCCTAAACTTCAAAACTGTAATTGAATTAAAGCTGACAAGAACTAGACCTAAGACCCAGAATAGATTACTCAACATTTAACCTGCAAGAACTAAACCTAAAACTTATAATCTATGCAAACTATACCCTGAACTTTTAAAACTTATACCAAAATACTAACGTGGCCCCCATGGCAGCATGTCCTGAGGTGGTGCCCTCCACTGCCTGGGCATTATCGTATGGAAAGGTAATGATTTGAGAGCAAATTTTGAGATCACCTAAATAGTACTAAACTCAATGATAGGACTTCAAATTTGTACAAGAAAACCACAGTATTACTTAGAATTGACAGAATGCCAAATTCAGAATGCTCAATGCAACAAAGCACGAGTGTGATTCGCGGCTTGTGAGCTCCGTCCGACAGCAAACATGCAAGGCCTGTACCACAAGGACAATACAGATAATATGCTGCACAACTAATGGTGCACAGAAATGATTTCTGCGTAGATGATTGGAGATTGTGCTGTGGACTGAACGAAAGCAATGCCAATATTCTCAGGAAGACGAAACCTATCACATGGTGGGCGTGGAGCCCATCGTAGACAATGAGGAAATGGTGCACCACTTCATCATGTATGCATGCAGCGCTCCAACGAATTCGCCAGGGGCACTCATACCCAACAGGCAGGAGATGGATACGCAGTGTGAGGAATCCATCTATTTATGGGGTCCCGGAAACGGTAAGCTACTCCAAATGTGCAGCAGTAGGGGCAGCTGGGACAATGGTGACAACAAAGGGTCATACTTGCGGCGGAAACTGGTCCCCAATTTGGCTGTCCGTCACTTTCGAGGTGCAGAAATGCCAACTATGGCAAAGATAGAGTATTGGCAGTGTGCTATGATCAGATATTCTCACACAGGCCGATTTGCGTGCCACCCGGAGCTTTACCAAAATGTGGGTGCTGTGAGAGCGGGATGCGCGAAACCTTCATCGTCCAGTTATGGCACATGCCAGAAACGCTGTCTCCCGGGCTTCCAAAGCGCTTGGATACATACATTGTTGCACACTGAAACACACTGATGAATATTACCTGTTCCCTCGCATCAAGTATTCCCCATGAGCCTGCGGCCCTTTTACTTTGATTCCAAATATTACATCACATAGCCTGAGGGGCCTTGCTGCGTACACTGTGCCTCATGTTTTGGTGTCTCAGTCCACAGTGATGCTGGTTTCCAGGGAACTTCAGTGCCCCGAAGAATGCAGGCATTCTTGTTGGAAAGGGCACCGGGCGCTTGGGATTTGAGCTTGAAATTCACTACGACAACCCGCTGGAGAAGGAAGGCCAAACGGACGCCAGCGGAGTTCGTGTTCACCTGACGCCGGATCTGCGTCCAGACGAGGTGGCACTCATTCTCAGAGAAATCACTGATTCTCGCTCTCAGAACAAAACAGAAAACCTCACGAAGCCTAACAGAAACCACACAGCGACTTCTATATAGAATTCGCACAATGATTTCTGTATAGAAGTCGCACATAATATGTGTTACATATGACTCCTATATGAAAGCCAGATATATTGCTTCATGGTTCTTACACCTTGAACGTGGTGTTTAATTTCAGCTGAATGACACTGCGGCATCATTGACATCAGTTTTCCTGAGCTGGTCGCCTGATATTTGCGATGCACATCGTTTGCAGATTGGCATCCTTTGGGCTGGCTCAATTGTCAGTGTCGGGCAGATTCCCCCAAAAGAGCGCAGCGTCTTCTCTACAACCGTGTGCCAGTTGAAAATAGACGAGGCAGCTGCACCCGGGGGCATCACTGTGTACGCGAATGCGCCCCACATGCACTTCCTCGGGAGTAGATTGTGGACAGACATCCTGAGAGTCAAGTCTGAAGACCAGCAGACAGGCGGGCGGTTCGTGACGGACCTAAACCAGCTGGAGAAGGTGAGGAGATTCAAGCAGATGCCGGCCGTGTGCATGCATTGAGGCCATCGCGCTGTGTGCCGCTCCGTGGGTGTTGACGATGTCGGTCCCAAAACCGGCTTGATGGAGGGCAATTGTAGTCTGAACTCATGGCGTAGATTGTCGATAGGGGATGCATTATCCTGCCTGAACTGTTCATATTCATAACGTTCGTTGTCACTGCGTATTCTATGCTTGCGTGAAAGTTACGTGGATGACGACCATCCAGTTCTTAAGCTGTTTCTGGTTTCCAAATAATGGAAATGGAAACAGGCTCCCAAACAACACTCAAGTAGTTGACATTGTCTTATCAGCTTATTTTAAAAGCAATCGAAGTTGGTTTCAACTGATGTCTATGTATTCTGATGTTCAGTTTCCATCGAAGCAATGTTTGAGGAACTTCGATTGGTGCCAAGAAACTGCGTCTTTCCTGAGCACATTTTGGTGCTATTATCACATTGATTTTTCCTAATCAACTTTAAAATTTTGTATAAATGCATGGTATACAACCCAACATTCAAAAATAGAATAACAATGTAACGCAAAACGTCGCAATGCCGTTACAAACTAGCTGCTCTAACAGCATATTGGAACAACATTCGCCCAGGTCAAGGAGCTCTCCAGGGAGGATGCTTATGACTTCAATGTGCAACGGACAATTCCTACCGCTGCCCTCAAATTGAGGAACGGAGACTTCCTGGCAACTACATGTGTCTACGACTCTAATGGGAGAGATGTGTATACATTGGGGGGGCTTGGGAGTTATGATGAAATGTGCGTCAACTTCTTGAGCTGTAAGTGCTGTCCTACGCGCTACAACCACCGCAAATTGCTGTCTGGAATTTCCACTGTTGAAGACAATGGAAAGCCTACAACAATCCCCCACAAAGAGGTCACCATGCTCGCTTCATGGAAATTTGGCAGAGGGCGCAATACCTGCTGTTCATATTGCCGTGCATAGGCAATTAATGCCTGCATATTTTATGGAAGCTGACGAATTTAGGCGCGTCAATTGTAAAACTGCCTATCTCGTGCTATTAGGAGCAAATATCGATTTCTTACCTTATTCAGGTGCCAGTTCGCTAACTGGCCAATCACACAATCGCCCTTGTGAATCTGGAAAAGTTCGCTTAAGTCGGCATGGAATTGTAGGAACATGCATTGCTTCTGGTGGTGCCATGATCAGAGATCGTTGCTCGTCTGGTCTGGACGTCGATGATCCATCTGTGGTGACAAACCTGCTGTCGTTTCTTTGATCTTATACGGTATTTACCCAGTGTTAGTATCCGGCCCCTATTAGTATCTACCACCCTCTCTGGGGGTCCAAATCACGTTAGTATCCATGACCCGACGTGAGTATCCACACCCAAACCTCGACGGAAACGAGCTCAAGAGGGCTCGATGTGTTCACCTCAAGGAGGGGAAGCTATTATGCACGCCTGTGCTTGCACAATCTTCTTGTTGTACGCCATCAACGTGCAGCAACAGCCCAAAAATGCTCACCCTGTCGTCCCGACGAGCTGCGTGTGATGAATCCACGCCTCACAGCTTGCGGAGCTGGTCTGATCAGTGGAAGGAATCTTCTTGCTGGTCGAGCAACTGCAGGCCATGCGCCCTTGGCACAGCGTCGGGCTGAAAGTCGTCCACGGGCATGCCGGCGCTGCGTGTTCCCATCACCATACATGCCGTGGCGCAAATCTTCGTGGCAGCCACGCTGGCTCGGTTGACACCCAGCAGCCCAGCAGCGATTGCAATGTGCATCTCGCCACTTAGAATTGCCTACAGCATGGCCTGAAGCGTGGCCTTTGAGACACATGTATTTCTGTGCGCTGCATTTCGCAGCTTAATTTTCAATCAGATTTCTTTGTGTACTGCTTGGATCAGGGGTCTCAACCGTGTCCAGTGTTTCTATCTATCTATCCATACATGGGATATATCGGGAATTTTCGATACATTCTGGAATAATTGGGACATGAAATGACGAACTCTTGCTCTCCTTTCTGACATTTTTTTCTCTGATGATTAGGATTCCCCCGCATGGATATTAAACGCTGAGCGAACACTGATACTTTCTTTCTATCTCATTGTTTGGTACCCTACACCGGCTTCTGCTGGAAAAGGATCCTGTTGTGCTTTACGTTTTGCGGCGGAGCTCCTTGCTTAAATCAGCTTGTAATACATTGGAATTCAAAAAAGAAAACATAAGTATATACTAACACTGGGTAAATACTGTACATCGAAGTTCAGGTGATGGTTGGCTTTCACTAATACACTCGCTTTTCCGTTATGGTGCGCTTCAGAACATCATTGCGTATTCCTATCAATCGAACTCTGCAGAAAGTTCAATGCTACTGAAATAGATGCCACAAGGACAGTATATGTGCTGTGTGCTTGGAACAGACTACCCCGCTGCAGCCACAGATGTCCTGCTTTACTGTTCGGGCCCTCGGTACTTCGGGACGTCCCTGCCCAAGTCAGTCTCTTCTGTTCATGAGATAGCCGACATCTCAGGCGTGGGCACAGCGATACCCAAATGGCGTCAGGCTTATCTTTCCAAGGACATCCCGTGCATTCCCACGAACTACACCTCCGTCGATATTACTCGCCCTGAACGCTCTCCCAACTTCTGGCAAGAGGCAAACAAGGTCTGCGGGGAAATGCTCCCTTCCGGGGACTGGTCATGCTCAACAGGTAAGTGAACAAGCTGCATTGAATGGGCGACGTTGGTCGGGACAATGGCAATGCCAAATGTAGGGACTCTTGGATGATTAGAGCCCCTTCTTCTAATGCTGTCAAGTACTGGGCTGGTGTGCAACGCAAGGGGGTTTTTGGATAGGCATGGCTATCCAAGTATGCATACCTTGCATTGTATTATTTTGGAGGCCCCAAGCTGGTGTATGTGAGGCGTGTCATGTACGGCAAGCAAACAAGTCAACATCGCTCTGGGTGCAAACACTCGTGTGTGTGATATCGAGGGCCGCCTCACTGTGTAAGGTCTTGCACCAGTGAGGCAACTTGTAACGAGTTCCACCAGTGTTTGCATTCAGATATCCGTTGCATGTGATGCACCAAACAAATCCTCTTAGCAGAGTGGCTTGACAACCACGACTACAAAAGTGTTGTGCGTGGAAATCATTGCTGTAACGAAGGCACCGTGATCAGTTTTATTGTCTGGTGTTGGCATGTGTCATGATGTGTGTGCATCATGACACCTGATATACCCCCTAATATACCACAGCGGATACATCGGCTGTGGTTTCGGAATAATGTCGGATAAAGCGAGTTTCCTGGTGACTGATTGGAATGCATGGTGCAGAGTGCGCGAAACTTCTGTACAACCACTTGGGATGCGCCCTGCTGGAAGATGCTGTGTCCGGAGACGGGAAAACTCTCAGCATGCTGGGGTCCCCGATGGAAATCATGGTGGAATCAAGTTGCAAGGAGGTGAGGAGCTATGGTATCATTTGTTCTGATGTGTTGCCCAGTGAGCCCGTTTTTGCTGCTTGGTTCGATGCGCAGTGAAAATCTGAATCGCAATGAGCATGGAATGCCGTGGAGCAGGGGAATTGCTGGTAGTCGTGTGGATCCATCGCGGGAATCACATCTTGGATGTACTCAGCTGAGCGAATTTTGTTATGGACAGTTGCTGATTCTCCAGCAGACACCACTACCAAAAAAGGACCAACATAACGCTTCCGCGAACACACATAAAACGCATTTCATCAAAGCTCTGCATGCCAAGAACACAAAAATGACCCAAACCCGCAAATTTTGCATACGTTTGAAAACGTGTTATTTGGCCCTTTTTGTCCTATTGCACATAACTGCATGTCAACCTTGCAACGACTTACAGAAAATTATCGTCAATTGGGATTGAGAACTCTGGGTGGCTGTGAGAAATAAATGAACAGATCTTTCCATTCAGTTTTTCCCTTTACGAAAACTGTTTCGATTTGTTCATCAGTGACCACGAATTGTGTTTAGAAGAACAGGGTGAGTTGCTCAGTCTATTCAACAACTTCCAGTACACTATTGTCTGCACATCGTCATCATCATTTGCTACTGCTGTGTTGCTGCAAGATCAATGAAGCAGCAACAATAGATGGCCAATGTGATGTGTGACCCACATTTAAGTATTTACGTAGAAACATGGCAAAAGGATCGACGCAATGTTACATTGCATTGATTCATTTTCGTGAGGATGGTGAAGGCAATGGTTGCAACGTAGTGAAATCTCTGCCGCAATCAGTGAGGGTTGGTGACGATTGTCACTGGCGAAAACAGAGATTACTGGAACATGAGCGGAATGATCTTGCCAGCACACGTTTTTTCCACACGGTTGATCAAGATGGTACAGACCAGTAAGCCCAACGAGTTCCGCCACTGGCGAAATTTCGCCTTCCTTTGAACCTGCAAATTCCTCGCGATGCACAATGAGGGGACCAGCATTTGACGGAAAAGGCCTTCCAGCTTCGTTCCCCATGTCCCAGTTGCTCTGAAAAACGCAAGGTGTACAGGCAGATGCAATGAACGGACGATTGTTGTTATGCATTCAGGAATTCATGAAGATCTATGAAGCAGAGGGGTTGCCGATAGAGGTAGGGAGCGCGCCCATTTTGGACCAGTCAGTGGCGAATGACGCAGTGGAGCAGCAGAGCGCGGAAGGCGAAAGCGCTGCAGGGTTGCCATGGATTGCTGGTGGCGGCTTAGCCGCTGCGGCGATGCTGACATTGGCCGCGGTCCTCTGACATGGCAGCTCCGCACAGTCTGTGTGGGTGCCGCATGAAGCCAATTGTAACATCGCACATGACTCATGAGTGGCATACCAAGCTCCCAATCACCGCGCCACTCGGCGCGTGGTCCAGCGGGAGTGGCTGGGCCGAGGGTGAGGTGAATTTTCGGGTGTGGCGTTGTATGGTGATGCTTCGTTCAGAACACAGTGGGTAGTAAAATGAACCGGGTATTGGGAACGACGTCAACAGGATAAGGAGCACGACGAGGAGATTTCGCATGTCTGAGAATTTTTGATGCTTCCAACATTGTAGCTGGGCAAGTACGGCTGGATTTTATGAATGTATCGGAAACCTCACAGAGGGCGAAAGTCGGCATGTGAGAATCTTGGAGCCTCCTCACATATGAGCCCCAACCAACTGATCAACCACCCTGCAATACAAAGCGCAGTGTGCGCACGTGCATGGCGCCATCACTCACAAGCCCTTAGTTTCTTTCATTGCTAGCCATTTCACTGCGCGACATCTGTCAAAACAGCGGTTGCTCAATTGTGACTATGGACTGTGATTTCGTACATTACACCGACGGCCGGACCATGTTGCTGAGCATTCTGTGTTCGATATCCAAAAATGTGGCCGACTTGGGCTGCGCTGGAGCCGTTGCGGGTGTTTTCGCACCGGCGCAAAATAGGTTCAAGAAACGTTTCAATGGGGCGCGACGAGGGCGGCGTCAGCCGCGTGCGCCAGTGGCTGAAAAGGCTTTTAATTGCGTGAAAAGACTCCTGGACACGCCATTTGGTTATGTCTTGCTGCGGAACATTCAAAGGGACTAAGGGTGAGTGTACAATCGTGCCTCTCCTCTGTCCTGCCCTGTCATTTTGCACCAACTTTAGTGCAACGAGTTGGCTCGATGGCACAACTTTGATTCTCTGAGCATTCCCGGACCATAGACTGGAGGGATGCAAGAGAAAGATTTTGTCAACTGAGTTGGAACTGAGGGATAGATTTGCCGGTTGTATGGCCGTGATCCCTGGCAGCTCCATAGACAGCGTCTGTTTTTCTGATCCGCTGCTGTTCCGAAGTTCTTGAGCAACCCACTTTCCGCCCTTTTGGGATTACGCCTTCTTGCACGGTTCTATTTCTTCTCAGGGATCCCGATCCACTGAGATGTCAACATTTCGTGATGCATAAACGTTTATGCATCATGCGTCATGATGACACACTTTAGGGAAGAGCCTACGTCGACTTTTGTATGCTAAGCGTCAATTAGACGTTAAGCTAAGACCCGCTCACCCCTCATTAGCACCAACCCTTATGTCGATAGCAACATTACCTAATTGTGGTGCTCAACTTCCAGGTGCTGTTGAGGAGAAAAAGGGGTGAGAGCTGCACTGATTTTTGTGGGCTGCAAAATGGGATTCTACTTCCCTGATATGCAAGGCGGCCAGCCTCAGTGGCTGAAAATTGATACACTCTAAGGCTTTCTTCCAGGCTGAACACTTGAGGGAAGTTGAGAATCAATTCTTTAGTTGTTAGCCGCTGATAAGCGGCGCTTTTAGGCATCTTTACAGCTTACGTCGATTCTGTGGCAATTACATAATCTCTTGGCGTCATAAATCCCCCGCCCCCGGGCATCAAATTGGCGCTAAGCGCACCAAATCGACATAGTGCTTTCCCTTAAAGTTAGAAGAAGCTCACTTGGCGTTCATCATCTCAAGTACTTGACGCTCTCACTTACCTCTGCACATTCGCATCGATACCCTTTGTGCTTTTTTTAATGCGAGACTCAGCTCTGACTCAGCATTTTAATCACCATCTCAATCCCCATTTACCACCCAAACCACCCATAACTCAACGGATTCCGGTGTCCTTTGGGCAGGCAAGGCGTATGCAAAACAAGCCAAGAGTGGGGAACGAAGGGGGAGACTAAATACCCACCCACCAGTTATAGCCTCAAAGCCCAGAAAACAAAGGCGCGGGAAACCGCTTGCGGCCCTGTTTGACGCCTTCGATTTTGACGAACCCAATGTACTGGCTGGGGAGAAACCAATGTGCGGGTCCTGAATCAGCCTCTCAAATTGAGCTGCCGCTCCAAACCAAGGGCACCGCCCACACATCATCGCCCCTGGCAGACAACCATCAAACAATTTTGACTATCGCACTCTGCAAAGAGCAAGCTCTTGGCTAGGCTCTTGGGCATCAACCAAGCTTTCATTGTTAGATTTTTTCATATCAAGAGAAAACACAGGCTACACAGAGGACACTCCCTTGGCAAAAGTGTGTGATACTGTTTTCCATTCTATGAAGATACTATTTCAGAGCCTACATCTTATCAGGATGCAGAGAATCCCAGGACGAGATGATGAGCACACAAAACAAGCAACACGAAAAGCAAGAAGCCATGCACTCAGAGGGGTTCCTATGATAAGACGGGAATTATTGGAATGCCAGGGTGGTGAAGGGAGGAGGCCGCACATGTAAATTGAACGCAACGCTATCATGGATCATTGCAATTGCAGATAGTGTCTCCGCCAATACACACGTGCAATTATGGACACGGGCATCATAACGTACGCACCCGGAATTGTTGACGTTTGTATAACTTGGATTCCCCTCAACGAGATTATACATCACAATCCTTGGAGGTGGCCGTCCTGTTCATGTTTTGCCGGGGAAAGCGGTGTCAAGAGCGGTGCCCTCTCCGCGAGTCACATATTTTGTGTTCGGATTGTTTTTGACACCAAGTACTGTTGTTCAGTCCTCTAGCTTCCATTGCTGAATATTCGGGGAACTTTAGGTACGGTCATGGAGTTTTGTGTTGGATGGTACGATGAGGGCACCGCGGCTTGCGATGCAGCCAATCTGTTCGCAGTGCGCGGAGGGTGGCCGCCCATTTCTGCTTGATTCGACACTTCTCCCATCATGGGAGAATCCAGCAGAATGGAGGAAGTTCAACGTGGAGTTGTTGGCGCAGCTCGGTGTGATAGTTACGCCAGTCTCTCGACGAACTCTCTGACGGCTGTCGGGTCAGACGTGGATCGGTGTTACAATTCACGCTACGAGATGGCCCATTGTGCATGAACATTGCGTAACCATGTGTTGAGCCACACCGGACAGGCGCAGGCCAGTCACTGCGACCTCTCTTACGGTTAGCGGCTCGATCACTTCGTTGGCGCCGACATTGCCTAACCATTTGGTGAGCCCACGTTCTGTGTCGCCCGCACATCACCACACTGCTACGCACTCGGAACCCACCCGCCAAGCCCACCGCCTGCACCTCTATATTTGGGGGGCGCAGAGTTGCCAAACGCCGACCGCCGGCCGTGTGCGTGATGGGTTCGTTTCCTCGCCACTGCCTCTTCGCGGCGGTTCTGCTCTTCGCCCTTTCCGCCTGCGCAGGTCTGCAGCACTACCGCTCGAGGCTGCCCAATGGGGACTATGTGCCGTGCCCGCCCGACCACGACTGCGCGGGAGAGACGTGCGTCGGCGTGGGCCACATGTCGTGTGACGGGGGGGTCTTGGCGCCGGAGCGCAACCCATTTGGACAGGTGTGGACGGCGTTGGGCGCGAGTGGCCGGAGTTTGCGGTGATGAAGGCCTGCAAGGGTTCCCGCTTAGGAACACGAATTTTTTACCCTTGGGTGCGGTATCGATTGCGCGAAGCGTCGCGCCGCGGTGAACGGGCCAATTTGCGGCTTTTGGAAGTGCCTCTCTGCCCAGCACGCCCCGGCGAGGTAGAATGTGCCCCAGCTTCTTCGTGGAAAGCGCACGATGTCGTTATCTGCTCAGTCTCGTCCACGCTCTGGAACCGAGTTGTGGGGCGGCATGAATCGCATGGGCATTCCCCGATTTGCCATGCGATGCGCATGGATCCCCGCCTGCCGAATTCAATGGGCTGGGATTCACCCGTGCCTGGCGTTCGCTAGGGCACCAGGTGCGCGAAGAACCCTGTCGACTCGGGTGAAGAAGTTTGGAGGGAACTTTGAAGCATTATGTTGCGTTCTATTGCCAGCATCGGAAACGCACGTGCCTGCTTAGCACCTTGTGAGCAGTTTCGTTGCCAATCTCCACGTCGCTCCGGACCATCCGAAAATCGGCTCGTTCCACTCTTGCCGCAGACCTGACCTCTGCTCTTGGGGGCCGATCTGTAATGCTCAACGCCAATTGGCTCCAAGAAGCATGAACATCAGGCTCGATGCCACATCTCAACACTATGATCGCTACGCGCTTGGAAAGGGATGAGTCAGAACTCTGATGATGCCTCTGCCCCCCATTGCCGAAGGGTAGCGCAGGCAATCGGGAGTGTTGTTCGGCGTCAGCGGACGGCACCGGATGATGATATGCCTCGACTGAATTTGTCAGCCACTTCATTCGCTCTGGCGATGATGAACTATGGAACGAGGGCTTCTTTCAATTTGAAGTTGTGTGAAGCATGTCCAAATTGAATGCCTGCGAGAGGTTTGAATAAGCATTTGACAACGACAATGCACTAGCCAACATGCGTTTAGAAATCCGGAAACAGGCCATGGCTGCAGCAATCCCTCCCAGCCAGCAGATGTTGCAATGTGGATGCCACCGCCGAACGAAAACAGGATGGAAACAGGATGCGCTCTGAAGTAACAAGTATGTACTCCAGGGGTGTCCGTACGGGCGTGCATGTGTGGGAGGGTGTTTGAAAATGTGGGTGGGGATGGGGCGGAGTGCTGCATTTCCTTGGCTTGTGAGAATCACGTATTTTTTAGCATAAAGACTCCCACATAATCACACCTTCCTGATCACACGGGAGTGCACAAATATCTGTAATTCGATGCATCAAACACTGAAGCGGGGGCTCGTTCCGTTGTGCTATGATGATCATCATAGGTTTGCAAACTCCACCCGAAAATGGAATTGGATAACCCATTCTCCGCAACAAGTATTTCTGCTTCAACATCAACCCATAATGCGCTATCGGAACACGTACTGCATCTGAATATATTCATCTTGTTTACAACAGGACTTTGCACTCGAAGGGCGCATTTGGACAAGGGATTTGTGCGAGAAGGACTCGGATGGCGACGGATTCACCAATGGGGAGGAGCTCGGAGATCCTTGCTGTGTGTGGCACGAGGTAAAGCACACAAACAAATTTTCGCTCGGGCTGCATGGCAGGGAAAACACAGAAGTAACAGCATGAACTCAGCAACACAGCATGCTGCATTGCCCGATGTCATTCGACTACTTCTGTGCTGTCAATGCTCTCAAGAAACCGAAGATCTTTCATTCCGGATATGCATCAATGCCAATGCCTTTCGCCCCGCTGCTGTTCACGCTGCCGAAGCGGCATCTCCTCCGGCAAGTGCTGTGGGCCGAGGGGAATCGGGTCTGTTCTTGCCAGGGCGTCAGCGTTCCTCTGTGGATGACGGCGGCGGAGTGGGACATATCGCATCCGGGCTTTGCGTCTTCCAGACCAGACCAGCCCGTGGACAAAGAGGCTCTGTGCAAGGACGCGCCGGCGCTGGGCGCTGACACCTTTTTCAATGACGGCGAGGAAGAAGTGACTACTGATTTTGTGATAGATGAGCACGTCGTCGATGCCAAAGAGACTGTCTACGACTACGTACGATTCAACTTCCCGGTAGGCGCAGTGTGTTAATGTGCGTATTATTTGGATCATGAAATAACAGAACAGAACTTTACAGGGCCTTCATGGAACATGGGACGCAAGCACTAATGGATGGGGAAACATGCAATTGTATGAGTGAGCAGTCGAAGAGTGGTTTCCAAAGAGATAGCGCGTTCCAATGCATTGATTCTAACACACTGTGCGACGTCGATGCATTAGTGTTCCGCTGTGTTTCTCACCCATAAAGCACTTAAACAGCAATACAACCGTCAGTGGTGAAGCTTAAAATCCCCATCAAATGAATGTGATATGATTTTGAATTGACAGACAGCCAAATTTAGGACTGCTCAACGTGATAGCGCACTAGCCCTGGCTGTGCTTCATAGCTCGCGAGTCGCAGTTCACAGCAGATATGCAAGGACAGTATGATTGTGGTAATGTAAATAATGTGCTATATGTGTAATGCTGCCCATGTGCATTCTTGTACAGAAATGATTTCTTTATGGACCAGACTGGAGATTTTGTTGTGAACGAACCAAAGCGATGCAAATGTTCTCAGGAGGACGCAACCTACCACATGGTGGGCATGGAGCCCATTGTAGACAATGAGGAGATGGTGCACCACTTCGTCATGTATGCGTGCAGCGCTACAACCAATTCACCGGGCACACTTATCCCCGACCGGGACGAGATGGATACGCAGTGTGAGGAGTCCATTTATCTCTGGGGTCCGGGAAGTGGTAAGCTACTAAAATGTGCAGCGGTAGTTGCAAGTGGGTATGAAGTGACAACGACCGAGGATCATGCATGCAGTGGGCACTGCCCCCCGTTTCGGATAGTTATCGCGTCTAAGGTGCAGAAAATTTCAAATAATGCGATGGCAGAAACTCGGCGGTGTTCTGTGCATCACAGATCACAGCTGTGAATCTACACTTAGGGAAATCTAGGACTGGCATCCACATCAGCCAACAGGCAGATGTGAATGCCAGCAGTAGATTTCCCTGAATATGGGCGTTGATTGAAGGGATTCGTAGACCGTTCAATGGAGATCGTCCAACTCAGACCACGTTCCAGAAATCGCATGCTTCCAAAGTACTTGTTTGGGATTTTGCGCTGAAGCACACCGATAGACGATGCACGCTCGGACACCTCGCATCACGCGTTGCCTCTGAACCTGGGAGTCTTGCTGCATGCTGTGGCACATTGGTTTGCGTCTCAATTGAGGGTGAAGTTCTCTTTTTCAGGGAACTTCAGTGCTCCGAAGAATGCAGGCATTGCTGTTGGAAAAGGCACAGGCCGCTTGGGATTTGAGCTTGAGATTCATTACGACAACCCGCTGGAGAAGGAAGGCTATACAGATGCCAGCGGCGTCCGCATGCACCTGACACCTGATCTGCGTCCGGACGAGGTGAGCTTCTCAGGACTCAATGCTTGTTAGTCAAGCAGTCGAGCAGACAGCACGCCCGAATGACCGTTGCCTCACAGTTTGTCATTCCTTGGACGCGGTTTTTCTTTCGGTTGATTGAAGCAGTGGTATTTTTGAGAACCAGTTTGATCAGCTGGTCACCTGATATTTGCAATGCCCCTCGTTTGCAGATTGGCATCCTTTGGGTTGGCTCAATTACCAGTGTCGGGCGAATTCCCCCAAAAGAGCGCAGCGTCTTCTCTACAACCGTGTGCCAGTTGAAAATAGACGAAGCAGTGGCACCCGGGGGCATCACTGTGTACGGCAACGCGCCGCATATGCACTTCCTGGGGCGCCGGTTGTGGACCGACATCCTCAGAGTGAAGTCCGAAGATCAGCAGACAGGCGGGAAGTTCGTGACGGACTTGAAGCAGCTGGAGAAGGTGAAGTGATAGCATGATCATTCGTATACGATTGCGTGCATGTGTTGCAACACAGGCCCCAATTGGGGCCAACAGGCTGCGTGTCGCTTCATGTATGTTGACCTTCAACGTCCAAAAAACGGTTTGATAGAGGGTAATAATGACTTCATTCACTGCGCTGATTGTCAATAATGGATTCCCCAGTCTGAGCCATCGATACATTGTGATTCTAGCAGTCAAAGGCACATTACATGCATGTGTGCAAGTTGCTTTGACGATCGTCACTCATTTTAAAAGCTTTTTCTAGTCTCCTGATGATTGAAATGGAAATAGAAAATTTCCTAGTTGTTTCGACTTTCTTATTCGCTTGTAAATGCAAACTGATCGGATTCGCTTTCGACTGATTAGACACATCCGTGCGTTCGTTTTCATTAGGCAAGTATGGAGGAGCTTAGATCGGGGCTCATAAAGTGTGTTTTTCATGCCGGCACTTCGGTCCAATGTGATCATACATTTTTCGAATCAACTTTAGGAATTTGCACCAACATGATACACTCCCAAAGAGCAGAAATGAAGTCATATAGTTTGGCACACTGTGGTACTACGCGATTACAAACCACTTCAGAAGTACTTTAGAAATCGCTTATTGACATCGTGTCGGAAAACCAACCCACACCCACAGGTGAAGGAACTCTCCAGGGAAGATGCATTTGACTTCAATGTGCAACGCACGATGCCTACTGCTGCCCTCAAGCTGAGGAACGGAGACGTTCTGGCAACTACATGTGTCTACGATTCAACGGAGAGAGATACCTACACATCGGGGGGGCTAGGGAGCTACGATGAAATGTGCATCAATTACTTGAACTGTAAGCGTTGCCATGCAATATAGTACATTTCCCTTCTGGCTATGAATGGAACTCTCCGAAAATCCCCTACATGGACATTGAGCTGCTTTTGGCAGGGAGCAAACTAGATCATACAACATTATTGCTGACGAATCTGGAGGCTCCGCAACGATTATACTGCTGAACTCGTTTCAGTTATGAGTAAATATGCTTTTTTAAGTTATTCAGGTGCCACAACTGACCTGCTGCGAATTGAAAGGCATTCGTGAATGTCAGCGTGGAATAGCGAGAAACAGATATTCCATTCTCGTGGTGCCGTGATCAGAGATCGTTTCTATTTTACAATTCAACGACATGTCTGCGATGTTAAAATTGTTGTGGATTCTTTGACCTCATGCGCCAAATGACAAATCTCGTCTTGAAAGCTTAAGCGATGACTAGCATGCATCAATCCACTAGTTTTTGGGTATGGTCTGCTTCATAATGCCATTGCGTCTTCCCGTCAGTCGAAATCTTCAGAAATTTCAATACTCCTGAGAAACACGCCAAAAGTGCACCGTGTGTGTGCCGCGTGCTTGCAACAGACTACCCCGCTGGAGCCACAGATGTCCTGCTTTACTGTTCGGGCCCTCGGTACTTCGGGACTTCCCTGCCCGAGTCAGTGTATTCTGTACATGAGATAGCCAACATCTCGGGCGTCGGCACAGCGGTACCCAAATGGCGGCAGGCTTACCTTTCCAAGGAACTCCCGTGCATTCCCACGAACTACAGCACGGTCGACATTTATCGCCCTGAACGTTCTCCGCGCTTGTGGAAAGAAGCAAGAAAGGTCTGCGGTGATAACATGTTTCGTGGGGATTGGTCGTGCTCAAGAGGTAAGTGAACAAGTTGCACTGAATGGGTTCGGGTTGTCAGGACAATGCTAAGGCATTTGAAGCCCAGCACCAGAATGCCTTCTTTCAATGTTCTCCAATGTTGACTATTGCGCAACGCAATGAAGTCATTCGTATGGGCCAGCGTTGTGTATTTTCGTGTTGCCAAGCTGGTGTGCGGAAAACATCTAATTTGCTGGAAGCAAACGGGGCGAAGTCTCGCAGGGTGCAAACACTAGTTGATCTGGTAGAAGGCCACCTCCAGTGTGTAGCATCTTGCACCCCTGTGGCGGCACACAATAAGGTTCCCTAGTATTTGCATCCGGACATCGGGTGCGTGTAATTTGTCAAACCAATCAGCTTGAAGAGTGGTTTGAGTGAATAGTGGCTTGGCGAACTTAGCCATGAATGCGTTGTGTGTGGAGTTCATCTGACACGCTAACCGGCGAGGTGATCAATTTCTTCAGATGATCTTGACATGTATCATCAAATTTCATGTTTGGTTTCGGAATAATATCGGGGAAAGCGAGTTTCCTGGTGTCTGATTGGAATGCATGGTGCAGAGTGCGCGAAACTTATGTACAACCACTTGGGATGCGCCCTGCTGGAAGATGCTGTGTCCGGAGACGGGAAGACTCTCAGCATGCTTGGGTCCCCGATGGAAATCACGGTTGAATCAAGCTGCAACGAGGTGAGGAACTGCGGTATCCTTTGTTCTGATGTGTTGCACAAGGATCCCACTTTCGCTGCTTGGTACGATGCGCAGTGCAAATGTGAATCGCTGTGAGCATGGAATGCCGTCGGGAGGGCAGACGTCTGGAAATGATGTGGATTGCTGGTGGTAATCACGATCGAGATCTACTCAGCTGGAGATTTTCCGCTACAAAGTATTGCCGCATCAAGCAGACACAACACTGCATGGCAATGTTGCTACGACTTGTAGCAAATTTTGATCAATGGGGATTGAACATTTCTGCTTGTCTTCACGAAGAAAATAATAAGCCTCCCATTCGCTATTTCGCGTTGGACAAACTGTTCCAATTTATCAGCAGTGGCTCGGATTGATCTTAAAAGTAATAGTAGGTTGTTTAATCTATTCAAGAATTTGGAGTGCACTGTGATCCACACATCATCATCATCAGATGCTGCTGAATGGTAAACAGGGAGAAGCCTCTTACGGACTCAGTGACAGCAGCTGACAATATATTTTTACTGGTGCACACGGAAAATTCCGAAATGGAAGATGAGCGGATTGGCATTTCCATCGCATTATTTGTCAGCATCGTACACACCATTATGTCCACCACCGGCGAAACCAGCAGATTCCGAGCGATGCACAATGATAGGAACAGTCGCAAGAGGGATCAGAACATTCCAGCTGCAATTCCTCTCTGTTGCCAGCTGCTCTGGAAGAATGAAGGTGTACATGTGTATGCAATGAAGTGCCATATGGTTGCGAACTCAGGAATTCATGAAGATCTATGAAGAAGAAGGGGTGCCGGTGGAGGTCGCAAGCGAGCCTCTTCTTGACCAGCCCTAGACGAATGACTCATTGGAGTAACAGGGCGTGGAAGGCGAAAGCGCTGCAGGGTTGCAATTGGTTTCCGGTGGCGGCTTGGCCGCTGCGGCGACGCTGGCGTTGCCTGCCGGCCTCCGACATGGCTGCGCCGCACAGCCTGTGCGGCTGGCGCACGCACGCCATTGCAACATCGTGCCGATGAGGGGCAAATCGAAGTACCATGCACCGCGCCACGGCGGCGCTCGTGGTACTCGGTGCGTGGTCCAAAGGGAGCGGTTGGGACGAGGGTGAGGTGGATGTTTTGGGTGTGGGGTTGCGTGGTGATGTTCGTTAGATCGGTGGGCAGGGAAAGTGAAGCCGGGGATTTGGAACGACATCGGCGTGATGCGAAACCCGACTGGGAGACTGAGTATTTAAGGACGTTTTGTGCTTCCAACATTGTGGCTGAACAATTCCGGCTATAATTCATTGATATGTTAAAATCTCACAGGGTTCGGTCAGCGATAACTTTGAGCCTCTTCGCATAGCAACCTCAGCCAGCTGACCCACCACCCAGCAATGCCAGGGGCAGAATGCATACACATGCATGCCACCGTCCCCCTACACCAGTAGAAAAAAAAGCCTGTTTGCGATGCCAATTGTGGTGCCATTTGACACAAATGGATGCCGTCGCAGCCGCTTTTCATGCCATCGCAATCACTGTGACGGCATCACTTTGTGTCAAAATCGCATAGCAGCTGGCATCGCAAAAACGCCGTTTTCCGCCAGTGCTAAGACATTAGCTTCTTTCGTTACTGGCGATTTTACCGCACATCAAATCTCAAGTAAGCAGCTCTTTGTTTGCGCCCATGGATTGTGATTTCACACAATACACCGACGGCCGTGATGTGTGGCTGGACAGTTGTGGTGAACATTTAAGAAGATGGCAGATACGGGCGTTGTTTGAGGCCTCTGCTAGATGCGAATAGGCATTTTTTCGATGGGCTCAAAGAGGTCAGCACAGATTGAGTGCGCCGGTGGCTGAGCAGGCTCTCAATTGTGCGAGATCGTTTCTCGACACGCCGGTGTTGGTGCCTTGCTGACAAGCTTGAAAATACTGACACTAACTGTACACTCGTGCCTCTTCTCGGCCCTCACCTGCCACTTGCTCCAGCGTTGGTGCAACGAGTTAGCCCGTTGACACAACCTTGATCCGCTGAGTGTTCTGGTGGCGTAGGTGGGATGTAAGAGAGAGCATTTGTGAACTGAGTTGGGAACGAGAAAAAAGTTTTGCCTGTTGTGTGGATGTGCTCCCTGGCAGCCCCACGGACAACATCTGGTTGTCTGATTCGCTGACGCTCCCAGGTTGTGTGCGCAAGCCGCTTACCGCCCTTTTGGCATTTACGCCTCTTCACTCGTTTCCCTTTCGTAAAACCTCCAACCTATCCCCTCTCATTTTGTGTGGGCAAGGCGGGCGAGAAAAGACGAGTGGGGATCACTGGGGGTTACAAAATAGCCACCCACGCTTAGCGCCCCAAAGCCTAGAAAACAAAAGCTTAGCGGACTGCCTACGGCCTCACTTGAACGCCTTGAATTTGGCGGTACCAATGTTCTGCTTGGTGAGGAACCAATCGGCAGACCCTGAAGTGGCCGCTGAAATGAAAGCGGCAATTCAATCCACGGGCGCAGGCCTCCCAACATCGCCCTTGGCAGACACTCATTAAGCAAGATAGTTATTTAGTTTATCCCATTGTGCAAGCAGTATGCTGTCAGCTAAGGTTTTGAGCTTCAAATCAAGCGTTTGAGAGAGGACGCAAGCCAGGAATTTCGTACATTCCTGACACTGTAATGAGATAGCGTACTCACCGTACATCTCGAGCTGGCGCCTGTGATTCACGCCCGCATATTCCTGCGTTTCCGCTGTTAAGAGACGGGGTTCGAGCAGCTGTTCGGCCCAATGGAGCTGCAGTAAATCCACGCGGACCAGAAGGGCAGGGCTTCAAGACAGCAGGATCAATTCCCACTGCGCGGTACCGTTGTCCAACGGGGCCTTAAGAGCCGAATTTCAAGGAGGATGATTTTCAGCATTAAGCGGATCACGCATTCCTTATAAGGATTGCCAAGTGATTCCACCAAGCAGAGCACCCCGTCACATCTTAAATTGACAGTGCTCTGAGAGCGCCACTCTTCGCGGTTTTTGTGGGACGGTGGGTGGTTGGAGTGCGGAGTGGGGCTACAGAGGGAATTACTGAGGCGTTACTCGACGGGGGCATCCAAAACAATAGTGCGTTTCTGTATAAAGAATTCTTAAATATATTGTGTGATGCGAAATATTTTTTACTGAATTCATCATTGAGAATGAAGTCAACCAATGGTGGCTTCAATGACAAAGCTGCGTCTTGCCAATAGAGAACAGCAATGTGGCTTAACGCTGACGCGTTGTCAAAGTTAGTTGTGTTTCATGCTGCGGCGTATGAGTCGTGGCTGGGATTCATAACTCAGGAGGTCCTGATAATAGATGCCAGTACATCAATATTGCTATCTGGGTGATATTGAAGACGCTGTTGTGGACTGGACGAAAGCGCTTTCAATTTCCTCAGGAAGATGAATCCTATTACCTAGTGGGCGTGGAGCCCATCGCAGACAATGAGGAAATGGTGCACCACTTGGTCGTGTATGCGTGCAGAGTTCCTGCGAATTCACCAGGCATAGTCATAGTCAACAGGCATGAGATGGATGTGCAGTGTGAGGAGACCATCTATCTCTGGGGTCCCGGAAGCGGTAAGCTTCTCCATATTTGCACTGCACTTCGCAAGTGGGCCTATGGTGGCGGCGGTCGATAGTACATCATTCCCATTGGTTTTGAGCGTGAATGAACTTCAAATAGGACAAACGCCGAGTATCGTCCATGTGCTCTGCATAACTGTTCCACATTCAATTCCCTTGATCCTGCTCATGCCAGGCACGCTTTCACAGAATCTGTGGGTTAAGAAAGGAAGGTTGGTGTGTAGTTCCTGTTATGGCGCATATCACACGCTAGAAATGTTGTACTCCATGTTTCCAAACTGCCCGCCTAGACTTTTGCACTGATATATGAACTGAGATCGCATACCTCGCATTGAATACTGCCCCTGAAATTGACAGGTCTTGCTTCTTGTTGTGCTTCACGTTTGCATGTCAGTTGGTTTTGACATTTGCTGCCAGGGAACTTCAGCGCTCCAAGAAGTGCGGGCATTCCAATCGGAAAGGCACCGGCCGCTTAGGTTTCGAGCTGAGTATTCATTATCACAATCTCCTGGAGAAGGAAGGCCAAAACGGACGCCAGCGAAGTCCGTGTGCACCTGACGCCTGATCTGCGTACGGAAGAGGTGACACTCATTATCAGAGGAATCATTCACTGCTACTCACGCAACCGCAAAAACCAACATATTATTCTGTTTCCTTATCAAGCGGAACTCATTCGTTCAATGTTATTTCATGGATTTATTTTCCATGAAGATGATTTCCATTTCATTTGATTCTCACTGCGCAATGCTTCAGATCAAGCTGATGAACTGGTAACCTGACTTTCTATTTGCGTCCATGCGAGGTCGCGTTCTGTCTCGACGGAAAACCGTTCATCGGTTTGTACCGAACCGAGTCGAAACCACACTGTAACGTACATCACTTAATGAATTTTTCCTCGCTATCAAGAAATATTACATACCTATGCAAGATGGTTGCTGTCAGCTCCCTGTTTTCCTGGAAGGGCAGTGTACGTGATTTTTCTTGAAATCCAATTAAGGTCATGACATGGGTCATATCAGTTCGATCAATTGTTCATCTGGCGCTTGTGATTCACCTCTTTTGCAGACTGGCTTCCTTTACACCGGTGGTTTTACTAGCGTTGGGGAGATGCCCCCAAGAAAGGAGCGTGTACTTCACAACAGCGTGCCAGTTAAAAATTGACGAGACTGCTGCACCCGAGGGCATCACTGTGCTCGCGAATGGGCCCCGCATGCATTTCCTGGGGAGTCGATTATGGACCGACATATTGAGAGCGAAGTCCGAAGACCAGCAGACGGAGGGGAGGTTCGTGGCGGACCTAAACCAGAAGGTGACGAGATTCAGGCTCTTCAGGAGAAGGTGACGAGATTCAGGCAGATGCTGCTCTTTGGGATGCGCTGTGCCCAACAGACTGTGTATCAATTTTGGAATGCCGATATTTTGGAACCGGAAACAGTTCGGTGGATGTCATCAACAGCTCCAACTTGCGGGGTCGATTGCAAATAGTGTAAATAAGTTTCGTCCGAAATGCATATGTTGCATTGATAGATGTCGAAGCACAATTTATGCATGTACCAGTTACGATATTCAAGCAGCTTGTAACATACGAATTTTCAAGCATACGAATTTCCAAGCAGCTAGCATCATCCCACAGAAAATTTTGAAACCGAATTTTGGACAGTTGCAGTTGACTCTGTTGTTTTTTTAAACAGTTCAACCAGACGGCATTGTCTTCCATATTTTTCACATCATTTTATTTCATTCCAGCCAAAAAACGTCGAGGATATTCGATCGGGGCGCGCCAACATGGTGCTTATGCCATCATGTACTGTTGTAATCGATCTCATGAAAACACACACACACACAATGCACAAGCCAATGAGTGGGGACAATAATGCTATAATGATGCAATGTAGCTACAGCAAATTATGCTAACAGCATAATGGAGCAGCAGTCACTCAGATCAATGAACTCTTCATGGAAGACGCATTTGACTTCCATGTACAACGAATGATCCCTGCTGCTGCCTTCAAATTGAGGAACGGAGACTTTCTGGCAACTACATGTGTCTGCGACTCTATGGGAAGAGACGTCTACACATCGGGGGGCCTTAGAAATTACTATGAAATGTGTCTCAACTTCTTGAACTGTAAATGATTGCATGCACCCGCCGATCGTGGTCCACTGCTGACGGTGAATGCAAACTTTCCAAGAGTCCCTCACGAAGATATCGAAGTGCTTTCGGCATGCAAAATTTCAGAGGAGATAATATGCAC